GTATATTAATAAATAGTAAAAAACTTATCTTTGGTTATAACCTTAACGGTAAATCTTGAGAGATGCTGATGGTGTATAAATATTATAAACGTCTGATGCAAAGGATGCGCACAGTGGCGCATGCAATTTGCGCTTGCGCTGCATTACACACATGCAAAGAACATAGAACTATAATTTAGATTATATTAATTATAAAAGCAAATAAAAATTTTAGTTTTTTTCTCAAGAAATTTTATTCAATTCTTAAGAATTGAGAAATAAAAATAATATAACTTAATATAATAATATAATAATTTAATATAATAATATAATAACTTTTTCTTGAGAAATTCTCAAGAAAGTATTCTCAAGATCATAGTCATAGTATTTAACTAATATTTTAATATTTAATTTTAATAATAGTATTTAACTAATATTTTAATATTTAATTTTAATAATAGTATTTAACTGATATTTTAATATTTAATTTTAATAATAGTATTTAACTAATATTTTAATATTTAATTTTAATAATAGTATTTAACGTTTTCTATAGATTTTGTAAAACAACTTGAGCTTTAAGGAGTGACCGGACTGAGAGTGCATCAAATGTTTTTTAAATGACTTTTTGTTGTGCAGACTTTTTGAATGAATTTTATACTGTTTTAGCTGCTATTGAGTTGCTATTTGTTGGAGGCAGATCTCAATTCTAGTTCAAACATTAGACTACTTATTTTCATAGCCATATATATTTTTTAAATATCATTGGTATATAATTAGCTCCTAGAGTAGTACAATAAATGCTTCATGTATATTTAATAGTTTTATGGTGTAGTAACTTTATAATAAAATAACAATAAAAGATTGAATAATAAAAATAATATAATTGTCTTTTTAATTTTAGAATAATATTGACAACACTCCTCTTTTACATATATAAAAAATATTTAGTTTTGAACAATTATAATATCTTTTTTTTTTGACATGACTTAATATTATATTACTACCACTTTATAATACCCGTGTAGCTAAATACATTACATTTCCAGCTTCTAAAAATATTTTTTAGTTTGTTATTATTGAAAGTCATTAAATGATGGGTTACCCTTGCAAGCACTAAGTGATTGTTATTGTCGGAAATAATTTTCAAATAAGCTATTCCATAATGTAATAAAATTTTTAATACAGCAAAAACTTATTACTTAGGCAGCAAGGTTAACACTTTTTAATAAGTATTTTGTCAACTTTAAATGCTCAAAAGAAAGTTTAGGTAAAATACAAAGGCCACATTCTCTGTCTTCATAGAATATATAAGCAATATGGTTCTACTGTATAAACTTAAGATCCTTACATATATTTTTTTTTTCCATATGTTTTAAGTTGGATAAGTCATATTTAAATAAGACAGTAACGAGTTGTCTTATTTTAATATGGCGGATTAGGCATAAATGAATCATTTAAAATGCCTTTTTTAACAACTTGCAATTTGCATAAATATCCCAAGTTACAAGCAACAACTTTTATGAAATTTAGTTAGTCAAATATATCATCATACACTGCAGCTGACTTTGAAACTAGATAATTAACATGAAATATCTTATTTTAGTTGAAGATAACCTTAGATTTTGAGATATTATTTTTCATTTAACAAAATAGATATTAAATTATAGCTTAAAATCAAGATTTGAAATAAAATTTAGTGTATTAAAATAAAGCTTAATTTAATACACTGTGATTTTTAAATAGAGTTTTGTAATCTTCTTTTAATACACTTTACTTTTTTTATAATTAAATTAAATTTGATTTATGTATAAAAGTGATGCAATTCTGATGCAGACTTTTGCATCATCTTTATTGCATCAAGTATATTTTTTTAATTTGCTATTATATATATTGCAATACAGCATAATAAAAACAAAAATTTATATATGAGCTATTTTTAAAGTATTTATTAAAATCATAATTTTTTTTTACTGATTAAGTTTTTTACTTATTAATAAAAATAGAAAAACATTTTTGCACAACATTTATTGTTAGTATAGCACTTGTAAAAAAGGTAGAAGTTCTACCGTAGGGTAGACTATGTGATATGCATATAGTAAGGTAAAATCTTCTACCTTCCAAAGTAAAAAATTATATCTTTAATAGTAAAAAAATTTTTCTTTGTAAGGTAGAAAATTTAAAATCAAATCATTATTTTTAATATAATTTAGGTAATAATTAAGATAGAATTTTCTCTCTAAGGTAGGTAAACATGCTGTGTTAAGGGTATAACACATATCTTTAAAGATACCAACATCTTATTTAGCTTTGAAACCATTCAAAATAATAAAATTGTACCTGATTTTTTCTTGTTTCCAGAAAAGATACCAACATAGTGTAAAGAGTGATATATAAATTATCAACCAATCCAGCAAAGTAAACTATATATAGAATATAGAGTTTATTAAGCTCTATTAGCTAACATTTTAAATAAATATACTCTGAATATAATACAAAGCATTTATACCCAAATACATCCATCAAGTTATACAGTCGATGAAATGTTTGCATTTATAACATATTTTCATATAGTATATAACTTAAATGCTTATATGATATAAGCTATATGGTTGAATAAGCATATTTATACCACTACAAACTCTGTCACATAACTACATTTATCAACAGTTGATGTCTTTATTTTATGCTATATTCATCATTTTTATTCGGAATAAGAAATATATATGCAATCCAAAATATTAACTTGAAACTAAATAACCAAAAAAATCACAACTTGTTCATGCCATTTCAATATTTATCCCAGAATTTATGTGACTTTTCTATAGCGAAATACAATGTTTACAATTTGATGCACTCTAAAGTAGGCTGAGTACTAGTATAGAGAGGAACTTAAGTGTTTTAAAAAAACGGTCCTCGTTTCCAGACTAGTTAAAATTAGATTTGTTATTGCAATATGTTTTTAACCTAGGTGGTGTAGTAAAAATTATTCTGACTTTGTAACGCTTAAGTTCTTTTCTAAGTTTGCACCTATTCTTAGGAGTCATGGAAGCCTAACTGTATAATTACTTGTTTTTGTTTTATTATAATTTATATTAAAAAGGTAGTTTCTTTTCTGAATATAGTTCTTGGCAGATATTTCAAGCTTTAATCTATTGTCGCCATTTTCTGCAAACATGTTTACTAAAAACCATATTTCATCATTAAGATACTTTGTGTAACAAATTTTAATGGTGCAAGATACAAAACCTTTAAAAACACCCATAACTATTTTTTTTATTAATGTTTGATGTTGGTTTTATTTGTATATTAGTGATAGCCGACTTTAATGTGGATTTTGAAGTCATAGTATGAGTTATTAATATTAGTTACAGGTATGCCCGAGACCTTTAATTATTTTTAGTATTTTCTTTTTCTAAAGTATGTTTTATTGCTAGATCTTGTTTGTTAAATAGTTCCAGAAACTTATCATGATTTTATTTTGAGTTGAATTTAGCATGACTGTCATCTACGTACCTTCTGTAAGACAGGCCAATTTTGTAAGTTGACCAGCCTCAAACCTTTTCTTCATCTATTAGGCTGGCATAGACGTAAACCTGTGTTACATTGTTTCCAACCTAGGATGATGAATGCTAGATCTTGACTCTTCTCATTGGTTTTTGCTTGTGCCTCTTTGATAGTGGCTATGCAACTCTTCCTGTTATCTCCTAATGAGGGTACAGCTCTAAAACTCAGTTTAATGGTTCTGAGACTGGTTGATTGTGATCCTGTTAATATTTTTGGTTCACATTGTCAAGGCCACATAACAAGCCCTAATTAACAGGACTGAGAAATTTGCCTAGCTCATTGCGTAGAAGGCTATGCTTTATCTATGAATGAGTCAAATTCTCTTTAAACTTAAAATATGCCAAAAGTAACCCAAAATATTAAACATAAAAAACCATTCCTACCACCTAACTTTTAATATATCTTTTACTAATATTCTTGCTCTGCAAAGCAACTTTCCAATAGCAAGTGGAATAAGTAATCACTTAGCGCTGAAAAATTTAGTTGCTTGATCACTGACAATGCACCAGCCATAAAATAGCTTAGAAAATGTTTGAAAAGATGTTTCCGCATATGTCTGCTTGCACAGCTCACCTGATGAATTTTAGTCAAGAATATAGTGGATAAAACTGACGATTAGAAAACCATGAAAATGCTGTTACAATAAAAAGTTGAAAAATGGCTAAAAAAATTAATAAGTAAAAGTAATCAATTGGAATCTGATGATGCACTACTGTCAATAGTTTACAATTTTTTTTGAAAAACTCTTCAATTATTTCTTCTTTAATGAGGCTGTTTAGGAAGAGATAAAATATCAGCTTGATTTCATGTTTAATCAAATTTCAAGATTAGCTAAAAACCTAAGCATTACCATTACTATGGTAATGCTTAGAAAGACTTTATTTCAGCAAAAATGAATTGTTATTTTAAGCAGCATGGTGAAGTTGACCTACAAGAAATGAAAACATTTGTCAATGAAATTAACTTTTTTGAGGAAGTTACACACAAAAATGTTGTTGTCACAAAAATGTCAATGTAATGAACTTTTTTGAATAAGTTAAACACAAAAATGTCATTGTTTACATGTCTGAAAAGCACCGTTGAAAAATCACTGGCCAAAGAAGGCTATACAGCTAATTTTAAAAATGATTTTAAATTAATTTGAAAAAATCTTTTTATACCAAATCAATAATATGTTATTTATCATTTTGTTTAAGTAATATTCTTTCATTAACATGTCTCTCTCCAGCATTTAGAAAGACCTTAATTCCTCTCCCGTCCTTACATACACATTTTATTAAAGATTGAAATACTTGCTTGCAAACAAATTTTTCTCTTTTTTTTTTTGATGCAACCAACTAAATTCCAATAAAAATTCAATTTGATTAAATTAAAACTTATAACACTAATTACAATAAATCAATAATACATTTATTCAAACTTCAACTTTATATATTTCAAATTTTTTTATCTAGAATTCTGCAGCACAGAAACTGTTGGAAATGAGAACTTTACAGGAGTTTATAAATTCTTTAATATCGCAGTCAACTCTGTTTCCTCATTAAGTTGTGTATACAACAAAAGCTTGATGATCCAAAGAAGATGCATACTAAGTTCACTTAATAAACCTGTGTGGGAACCTGTTGATGTTTCAGTTTGTCCTGCTAAATCACAGACTACTCAGCAACTCTTAAACATAAATAAAGTAAGTTTTATACATTATTATTTTTATAAGTTTCATGTTTATTAATTTCTAAATTATTGTAATTTTTGAATTTTTTGTTTTTATTATAATATGTATATATAAATATATATATATATATATATATATATATATATATATATATATATATATATATATATATATATATATATTATAATAAAATATATATATATATGTATATATATATATTTATATATATTCTTATATATATATATATATATATATATATATATATATATATATTTATATATATATATATACATATATATATATATATATATATATATATATATATATATATATATATATATATATATATATATATATATATATATATATATATATATATATATATATATATATATATATATATATATATATATGTGTGTGTGTGTGTGTGTGTGTGTGTATATATATGTATATATATAGCTACCCTCCTAAACTAATTAATAAGAAAGCAGTCATGCCCTCCTAAACTTTAATTGCATTTTACCAACAAAATTTTGAGAAATTTTAGGATTTTTTTTTGAAGTATTATTTATTAAAGCAATTCTGCAGTTTAAAAAAAAAATTTAGAAGTTTCTACAGTAACAGATAAATCAAAAAAAAATTTCAGAAGTTTTTATAGAAGGTAGGATTTTTATTTTTGTTAAATTTTTACTTTTATTTGCTTTTAGGAAAATTATGTTTCTAAAAGCAGAAATTTCCAAATTATATTAAAAAAATACAGATAAATTAAAAAATTCAATATATATTTTTTTTTATTTAAAAATATATGCATAAAAATAATACAAACTGAAAAAACTAGGTAAAAAAATATTTTAAAAAAATGAGCAAGCTTGACCTTGAAATAAAAATAAAAAATTTACTAACTAAATTCTGCAATTTTTTATGCAAAATCTTTGGGCACCTTTTGTATTTATTTTTTTTTTACTTTCTTGGCAGGAGTTTCTTCTGCTGTTGGTGCAACATACATGTATGTTCATTTTATTAGTTTTGCATCTTCTTCTCTTTACTGGTTTAATAATGATTCTTCTGTAAAATTTGATTAATGTGAAAAAACAATCAACAGATTAATCTATTAAATTTTAATTGATTTTAGTTGATTGATTGATTTTAATTGATCATTCATGCTAAGATTATAATTTTAAAAAAATAATTGATTTTAAGAAATTAAGAGACCTGAAACAAACAGTGATTGAGGTTTAAGTTAGGACTGGCAGTAATTATGTAGGAAAGATTATTAAAACACAAAAGAATTCATTATTTTTTACTTTTTCTACTCTGTCTGAAAGAGTGATTATAGCCTAATTATAACCATTTCAAAAATTAAATTAAGAAAATTGTATTAGTACTCTGCCATCAATAATAAACTATTTACAGTTATTTCCAGATATATTTATTTTGAATGAAATTCATATCCTTCTAATTCTTTTAATCAATAGGCTTAAACATTAGAAATGAACATACAGTAATGTAAATGCTATTTACTATGAATTTTATACTTTCATTTAAATTTTATAGTTTTTTTTTAAACACTATGTGTGTACGATAATGAACTATATTTTGTACCCTATATGTTTTATATATTGTTTTTTTTTTTTTTTTCATCATATAAATAAAAAAATTAAATATTTATATTGTTTCACTTTAGGTTACTATAACAGCATCAAATGTTGAAACAACTGCATTTAATTTAAATCAGATTGTACAAAAAGGAAACCTTTCTACTGTATACGATTTAAATTTGATATCAACTATTATTGCAAATATCATTAAAGTGAATTTTTCTTCATTTGAAGTATGTATATTTAATAAAAAATTTACCTATTAATACTTTTATTAGGTTTTGTTATGAAGTCTCCATAGAGATTTCATAACAAAACCTAATAAAAGTATCCATAGATTGTGTTCCCAGTAATCATGAGGATGTTATGTAGACATCCGTAAAACATCTTTTTTGGATAAATAGACATCTATTTGTCCAAAAAAGACTTTTTAAGCATCAATTGGATGTCTGGTAAATGTACCAAATGCAGCACAAGGCAGCCATCCAAAATGATTATTTTATGGAATTAGAACATAGACATCAAGCAGATATCCTGCAGATATTCATTTGATGTCCAACTAATTTATGCACATCACAAAGATGTCTCTTGGACGTCTCATTTGAGCTATTCGGACATTCAGTTGACCTAAAAATTTATCTGAATTTTTATGGGTAGTTAAGGGTGGAATGCAAGAAGCAAACTTAAGTAAAGTTCGATTTGAACTGTGAAGTCTGACTTTGTCAAGTCAGACTTCATAAAAAAGCTTGAGCAAATGCATAAACGAAACTTTAAAATTTCAAAATTGCTCTTTCAAAAGTCAAAAATATATTAAAAGGTATGACGAAAATAGAAATTTCTACTTTTGTATTTTATTTTTATTAATATTGAAATTTTATAGTAGTAGTTTAATAAAAAAAACACAAAACACATTTAATAAAAAAAACAAAATATTTAATCTCTAAAAAACTTGAGAAGGATTTCAAACTAAAGTCTAACAATAATTTCTTGAAATATAGCATGCACCAACTTCCCAATTGCTTAAATTGTTGTATTTTTTTAACTATTAAGCAATTAAATCTACTTTTCTATTTATATCTCTATTAATTTTTTATTGTTATTGATGATTTATCATTATATTGACTGAGCCAATAAGTTTTCACTTTTTTTACTTTATAAATAAGTTCTATTGATAAAGTAAGAAAAATGAAAGTTAGAATTAGGGTCAAACAATTTTAACTTTCATTTCTCTTTCAATTGATTCATTGTGTAAATAGAAATTAAATTGTAATTTGAAAAAAATTAACAATCATGTGTTTTAAATTAGTTTCCAGGTTACTAACCATATTCTTTTTTTATTAACTTCTAGGTTACCAATCATATTCTTTCAACTATTGATACTGTTTTAAGTAATGCAGTTATGGTTACAGAAGCAAACAAGCAGTTTAATGTGTCTTCTAACTTTTTATCTCTAATGGATGATTTGGGAAAGCAACAAACTGGTAATATGACAATATCAACAAAAAATCTGGCATTGGCATCTTATTCTATTGAAAACAATCAAAATCCAGTTTTTATTTACTCTACACTGAGTCAAAGCAATCTGAATGTAAAAATATCTAGCAATGAAACAAGTATTTTACAAAATAACAGAGCCTACATTACGCTTTCCCCACAACTGTTTATTGGAAAAAGTAAAATACAAGTTTACTCTTATGCATTTTTAGAAAAAAACGTTCTTTTTTCAGGACATTCAAGCATTATAGGCAGTATAATACTTTCTGCTACAATTAATGGCCAAAATGTGAATAACTCTAACTCTCCAATATCAATGATGTTTTTGCGTAACACGAGTATGACAGGCAATAGTACATGTCAATTTTATAAAATAATAGGTTTGTTCTTTTTTGTGTGTTTATGTCTTTTTGCGTATATAAAATCTTTGAACTGTTTAATAGCCAATTGTTAAAACAATATTAAAAGCTGCAAATATTTTTGAGGTATTATATTTATGTTAAATTTAGAAAAATTGTCATTCTAGTACAATTGATTTTTGCAATTTCAAGCTCTAATATAAAAATTGTCATCCAGGTTACTAAGGACATTTATATTCATTTAGGTTATCAATAGATACTTATTAATAGATTGATTTTACATAGTGAATTATTGATTCTGGTAATAGTAGAGTAATGGCCCTTTGTAGGTTTTTACAGCAAAAAGTTACGAGGCCAGTTTTTTTTACTGGTGGGAAATATGCTTGCTTTTAGATTTTATTAAGAGTTTAATTTTTACAGGAACTTAATGTTTAGCTGACACAGGTATGTGACTTTTTGTAGAAAACATTGATTACTGCCAGACGAATACCATGATTGTGACACAGTTGACTCTAAATATGAAAAAATATGAATAGGAACTACTCATATTTTTGCATTATTGGAGCACCATCATGAGTAAACGCAATTATGTACGTAAAATCTAGCCCAAAGTTTGTCAACTTTTATTTTACTAATTCTTTGGTTGTGAAAGCGTCACAGGAACCATCAATTTTAAGAAGACTCATTTATAAGTAACTTTATTGTGAAAAGTTACATTTACCTTTTAATGGAGATGTCAGTCCATTCATCAACTTTTATCCTGAACAATTCACTACATTATTTCAAAACAGAAATTTCATCACACAGCTCTTATTTTTTTATCTTGTAAAACAACGTAAGTTTTTTCTATGATAAGACTGTGATTAGACTTTTTGACGTTTTGGAAACCATATTTTTAAATAAACTTACATATTGCATCAAATTTTGTAGTTGTTCTTAAAGACATATCATTCTTTGTGGCACTTTTTACTAACAAATTAGTCAAAGTTTCACATTTAACAAATCTGTCTCCTTGCATTTGTTTTTTCATAACTTCTGCAACAGATTTTTCATCTAATAATTTATTCTTTGTATTAATTTTGATAATATTAAATACTAAAAAATATTTGTTTTGTAGAAAAGCACAATACGGTGGTATATATCAAATAACTGTAACGTTTTCGTTGTTGGTATTAGAAAGAAAACAATATTTGTATTGAGCTACTTGCCAGGCCAATCAAGTAGCTCAATACTCTCATTAGCAAGAAAGGTCTTTATGGATTTTGTAGTATAGTAAAGAGCACTATTTTGGATAAAAACTTTTTTTACCATTAGGAAACCACACTTGTATCTGATGAATCAAGCTAGTCTGTCAGACAGTCTTGTACTATCTTGTTTCATCATTCCTTGTACAATGTAAATACTTTAACTGATACCCCTGCTCGATATGCATGACTAAACCATTATAAATTCTGTGTGCTTTACAGTGTTTACAGCGCATTTTGGCTTTGTTGTTTTCTTGGCCTGCAACAGACGAATCTGGCTTTTTCTTCTAAAGTCTCAAAGGTAGATTCATTGCTGTATACAACCTGACTAAAGCAATAAATACTGATGTTTTATAATATTTCAAATATTAACAAAATGAATTGGGATAAGATATTAATGCAAAAATATCTTCTAAAACTTGCAATATTAAAATATTAATTGTTTATGTTTCAGGAGAAAAATAATGAAAAATTTACCTTATTCTAGTCATCTTGAGAAAAAAAGGAGTGCTTTTTAGCCCATGCAAGATGTTTTTTAATCATTGAAGGTGTAAGTTAGGGCTTCTTCAGTGGTTTTCTACACTTATATCCAAACTCATAACTTCATAAGTGAAGTTTTTATTCCTTGGTCTTTTAAAACAATTTTCAGTTTTATTGATGGTATCTTACAATTTTGTTCAATAACTTTTTTCATTTTTCAGTGATCTCTAGCACTTGTAACTCGTTTTCTGCCACAAGACTCTGTTTTTTCCACTTTTAATTTGACCCCCATTTTGATTTTAGAAATTGTTCGTCTGACTGCAGCCATGATAATTTTAACAACTTTGGCAATATTTCTTTAGATGTAACTTGTTTCTTGCAGAAGGACAGCTACTTTTGCATATTTACTAGAGAAAACATTACTAGATTTACTCAATATTAATCCCAAAATAACTCCAACTTTAATTAATTTTTTTATGACTGCACACTTAAAAAACAACAACCAAAAAGCAACTGAAATTTTATTATTTAAATTGTAAAAACAGTCTACAATAATATATGTCCCTGAAGAAGACATATAAATTGAGTTATGACAGACAAAACTAACTGAAAGTTTTTAATTTTACATTGTTATAACTTACCATAACTTTTATTAAGTTGAAAATATTTTTCAAAAGTAAAAAAATTTAGAAATTTTCCTAATTAAAAACAATAAATGAATGACAGGAAGTTAAATTGCACATAAACAACAAAAATTAAACATCATTAATCCCTACATATCAAAGAAAATCCAAAAAACTAACAAAATCTAGGCATTTTTTTTTTGAGTCCAATAATTTGAGTAGGTACTGTATATATATATATATATATATATATATATATATATATATATATATATATATATATATATATATATATATATATATATATATATATATATATATATATATATATATATATATATATATTGGTTTTGGTTTATAAAACTTATATAACCATATTAGATTATACTACAATAAAATTGTTTTATGCATGCTCTGTTAAAAATATTACCCATTACCCCTCCCCAACCTGTATTTGGCACGCAAAAGTAGCATCAACTTTATATAAAAAATTCTTTGCAAGATTTCTTTATATATAACTTGATGGTTAATTTGCATAAAAATTTCTTTTAAACAGAACAAGTTTGGTCAACTGAAGGATGTAATACAGTTAAAAGTTCATCAGAAAAGGTTTTCTGTCAATGTAATCATCTTACTAACTTTGCATTGATATTAGATACTGATCAATCAGGTTACAATCCTTTATCTCTTCGAATTATAACATGGATTGGTTGTGGAATTTCTATTGCTGGATTATTTATCACCATTCTTACCTATTTAATTTTTCCGTAAGTTAATTCATTTGGTAATTCTTAAAAAAGAAAATATTTTTTGCTGATCATGCAGATAATTTATATTTGATTTGAGTATTGTTGATTTGAGTATTCTTTTTTTTTTTTTAATTTATTTGAAGTTTTTTAATTATTGCAATCATTTTGGGTTTAATTGTTGTTCAGAGTTACAGATAGTTTTTAATTTCAAACAAAAACTTGTTTTGTATAATTATTATAATAAAATATTTTAATTCTATATGCATTTTCTGTTTTGTTTTGTAAGTTTATTTTTTTCAGTTTACTTAAAAAATTAAAGTAAGAAATTCAAGTTAAAAATTTGATAGGAATTAAAAAATCTTAGAATTAATTTTATTAAGCTTTTAGCTTTTTATTGCTATATAATTATAGCCAAGAAAATTGTTTAAATTAAAAATTGTTCAACTTGTAGATTGATTAATGGCTTTTGTCAGTTGTTAAATAGTTCTTGAATCATGCTGACTGTCTATTTTAACCTTCTTGGCTTGTTGTGACTGCATATTGTTTAACTTTTTTTTTAATTTTTATAGGAAATTACGTTCAAATCTGTCAGCACAAATCCTTATTAATTTGTGTGTTAGTTTAATGATGACCATGATTATATTTCTTTCTTTGGTTGAACGCACCCAACCCCAACTATTATGCAGGGTAGTTGCATCACTTTTACAGTATTTTATTTTGTCAACGTTTTTCTGGATGGTTGTTGAAGGAATAAATTTATATATAATGTTTGTGAAAATTTTTCGTGGCTCATATAGATCTTGTATATTTATGTTAAAGTCTTTTGCTTTTGCTTATGGTAAGTAATTTTTTTGAATTTAATTTTCGTTATTATTTTCTTGTTTAGCTATTTAAAAAATGTTGTAAACTTTATGTTGTTAAGTGGACATACTAATCACAACTATTCCATTCCTACAACTCTTATTGAAGTATCCTACAGTTCCAGTTGGTTTTATGTAACAACAAGATTTGCAATATGCAACTTTTGCCATCTAAAGCAAAAAAGTTTTTCAATAATTGTAACAATTAACAATTTAAATAGTTCAAGTCAAAAATATCTTTTAATAACTTAACAAGATATTTATTTAAATGTTGGAACAGGATTATGTATAAGATCATCCTATTGAATACATCATCATATTAAAAATTTTTACGGTATTCCTATTAGATATGAATATATAAAAAATTTTTTTTAAATATTTCTAACAAGTTGTCTAATTTAATACTGTTCTAAATTAAATGACAGTCCATCATTTTAATATTTTATATTATTCCTTAATATTTTACTAAATATTCTTTAAAAAATGGTAAAGGGCTCAATTTATATGACAGCAGTTAAATGTCTTATAGGTTTTGATTTTAACGTGTTATATATAGTCAAGATATAATATTATAATAAGATATAATATAGTTTTATAAGAATACAAATGTTAAATTTGCAATTGCTAAAAAGTTAGATAGTCAGAGAGCTTAACAATCTTATATAACAAATATATTGAAATTTTTAAATATATTCAAAACTTTACTGCATAAATTCATAACCTGCCTCAAAATTTTTGTCAATACTATATATATTGATATATATATATATAAATATATACCGTAGATGGGGGTAACTAAAGCCACTTTCGAAATTCAAACTTCTGCCCAAGTCAGGCCCTTTAATTTATAGGTTAAATAAATATTGCAAAACTTGGGTCTGTGGTCATATATTAAAGAAATATATTCATAAATTGCAGAAATATACATTTTTTTAATAAAAAAAATAAAAACATGGTGGCTTTAGTTACCCCTGGAAAAGGGGTAACAAAAGCCATCCATTAAAAAGCAATGTTTGGCTTTAGTTAGAGAGTGCTAGGGTAACTAAATCCATAAATCATGCATCTGTAACAATAAAGAACCACTATTGACAAGAAAAAAGCTTTATTATTTAAGAAAAACATTAAAAAGAGACAAAAATATTATTTAAAATAGGTCTTGTTGAAATCAGTGCTTTACCGGTAGTTCATAAGGAAAAGTATAACGTCCTCTGTTTACTTTGGATGGTTTCACATTTGAAATGACGTCTGTTAACTGAATGTCCATTTCGTCATCAACAATTGGAAATATATAGTAATTTCCTTTTGATTTGGAGCTTCTTCTGAAAAACTTTACTGTAACTTCGTTCTTCTCAAAACAAGTTCTAAGAATGACTCCATAGAACTGTTTGGTGGTTTCTTTTTTTGTGTTCTTATCAAAGATGAGCTCAACAAAGACGTAAATATCAGATTTAAGTTCTCCTTTACTATCATTGATGGATCAACATCCTTTAATGTCTTTTCTAGTTCATTAAAGTAGTTATTCACGATGTCCCTACTGATAGCCGCTAGACTTCTTTTAATGTTTTGACCCAACCGTTTGGAAAGATCTTTACTGTTTCTTTTGAGAAAACTGTCAATAAAATCAACTCCAGGCATATTGTTTTTAAACCTAACTTCATTTGGGTCACACCAATCCAGGTAACCTTTCACTATTAGTCTTATGTCTAGTGCTGTAAGAGGGAATCCCCACTCTCCGGCCATGCTTATAGATTCAACTAATCTTCTTTCTTCTTCAGAATTAAGAACTGGAGGCCTACCACATTTGTTAACCTTACCTTTCAGGGCAGCAGTGAGAGCAAATCTTGATATAGCAAGTTTCTCAGCAATCTTTCTTAAAGATGACCCTTTCTTCACTTCTTCTACAGCTATTTTTAGCGTTTCTTTTCCTTATACTTCCGGCTACCAAGCTTCTTCTTTGGGTTTCGAGGCATTTTTAGTCCTAAAAAAGAGAAAAAATTTATTACTTAAGGAATTTTGACTTATTATAAAGTATTGGGTAACAAAAGCCACCTTTATGATGTGGTTTTAGTTACCCCATGTTGTGTATCACTGAAAAAAAAACATCACAACAAAAGAAAGAATCAAGTTATAGGTTATAACCTTTAAAGGTGTGATGAAACATAAATTGAGGTTATGTTTGTTGAGAGTTATGAGAATTTAAGATTAAAAATGATTTGTTCAGAGCAGAAGTTATGCAAGGTAACTTTTTTATTGATTTTTTAGGTTAAATATATAGTTTTACTGTACACTTACTGTGATATTGTTTTAATAATCCGGACAAGTATTTGGAAAGCAGTCCAAGTTCCTATTAGAAGAACACAACATCAGCTGTTGAATCCAAATAGTGCTGCCACTATCACCATCCAAAAATTACCTGCTATAATGGCTTTAGTTTCCCCGTAGGCTTTAGTTACCCCCATCTACGATATATATATATATATATATATATATATATATATATATATATATATATATATATAAATTTTCAATTAGCACTTTATTGTTTGACTCATCAGAAATTTCTGATGAGAAGAGGAAAAACAAAAAGCAAAAAAGTTATCAAAAGTCCATAAATCTCTTTTTTATCTATTTAAAAATACTTTTAACCAAAATAAAAATCAGATCTGTATACAATCAGTTAAATGATGTCAAGATTACCACTTTAACTGGATTGACTAAAGAAATTTAGCTTGCATAAGCCTATTGCACATTGGTCAATTGCACAATCGAGTCTAAATTTGAAGTTTTTTGTTTAAAATGTTGTGTTTTTGTGCGCAGATATGCAATTTAGCTTGCATAAGCCTATAGCTGCTCGCAAACCATTATTATTACCAGTTAATAAGACAAAAAGGCCAAATTGCGCTAAAACACATGCACATTGGTCAATTGCACAATCTAGTCTAAATTTGAAGTTTTTTGTTTAAAATGTTGTGTTTTTGTGCGCAGATATGCAGAGGAGAATGTTTACTGCCAACTGTAAAACATGGAAGTGGTTTTGTCGCTGTTTGGGAATGGTTGATGTTGGGAACTTACACAGATTTAAATAATGATAAAATAAATTTATAAAAACATTTTAGAACATCAAGTACTGCTGTTTGGTGAGAGATTATTTGCATATCAGTATGTTTTTATGCATGATAATGATCTGAAACATACCAGTAAGTTCTGCAAAATCTATTTAAAAAATTTTCAACAACAGCAAATACTAAAGATAACCTTTGGCACATTTTGCAAGTGAAATGGAATGCCATACAACCTAAATCTCTTTGTAATTTAATTAATTGTATGCGAAAGATCATAAAGAATAATAGAGGTTATTTTGACGAATCTAAAATTTAATTAAAATTTGAGTTAAAATCAGAAATTTTTAATAAAATAAGTTAATATTTAGTTTTTTTTTGAAACTTAAAAGGGTTTACTTATTAACTTTTTAAAAATTCAGTACCTGCTTCAAACTTTCTGTCATTATATAAAAATCCACAGGCTTATTTTGTTAGTTTTTCTTATTATTTTTTATGTGGATAAATATGTAGTTCTATAACAAATTAAAATTCTTTTGGAAACATGCAATATTGCAAATGTCTTTTTTAGTCATTTGTTAGTTAAGTATTCTCAGGTCATGAAATTCTCCGGCTATTCTCAGGTCATAAAATCTTGTATTTTATCACAAATATTAGGCTCTCGTGACTTCTGGAGAATCTTTAATAGTATCAATAATAAGGGCAAGTCTGTAATTCCACCTCTTTTGTACGGTTCAGACTTTGTCACCTCACCTAAAGACAAAGCTGAATTATATACTAAGAACTTTTCATCAATATTATTTCTTGATTCCACTAGTTGCATTCTACCTGATATAGCAGTCAAACAGGTTGCTTCATTGCTTGACATTCGTATCACTCCAGCTTCTGTATCTACTTATCCTTCCTTTCCGATTGCAGTATAAAAGTTGTCTTTGATAGACAGCACTCTTTTTATTCTGTAACCTCAGGAGTTCCACAAGGTTCAAGTCTTGGCCCTATACTCTTTTTAATTTACATTAACGATCTTCCAGATATTCTCACATCTAAGGTGGCATTGTTCGCTGATGATACTACCATTTATTCTTGTTATGATAAGAAGCCAACTCTCTCTGATTGCTTGGAGGGGGCATTTGAGCTTGAAAAGGATCTCACTTCTGCTACAGTATGGGGCTCACAGTGGCTGGTGAACTTTAATTCAGATAAAACTTATTTTTTTTTAGCCACTCGTTATCGCAATAGTTTAGACCTTCCTATATTTATGAACGGTAATGTACTTGATTAGTCATCTACCCTACATCTTCTAGGACTGACTCTTACTTCTGATCTTTCTTGGAAACCATATATCAAATCCGTTGCATCTGCTAAAGTTGCATCTTTTTATCGAGCTCGACAGTTTCTTACTCTGGATTTTATTCTCTATATTTATAAATCTCAATTCCGTGTATGGAATACTGTTGCCATATCTGGGGATGATCTTCTAATGATCCCCTTTCTCTTTTAGACAAGGTGCAAAAACGCATTGTAAACATAGTTGGACCTGCTCTTACAGCCAACCTTCAACAATTATCACATCGTCGTAACGTTCTTTCTCTTTTCTACAAATACTATAATGGGCACTGCTCTAAAGAGCTAGCGTCTCTTGTGCCATCTACTAAAATTCATTCTCGTGTTACTCATCATTCAATTAAGTCTCATTCTTTTTCTGTGACTGTTCTTAAGTGCTCCAAAAACTCTTATTCCTTTAGTTTTTTTCCTCGAACAGCAGTTCTTTGGAATTCGCTTTCTTCATCTTGCTTTCCTGATTCATATAATCTGCAATCTTTTAAGTCATCTGTCAATCGTTATCTTGCTCTACAATCTTCATCTTTTCTCTTCCAGTAACTTCCAAGTAGTTCTGTAAATAAAGTAGAAACCTAGTTCTATGTTTTTTATAGAGTTGAGCTCTGCTTTTTTTGATAAAATTTTGTGTGACGGATAAGAATTCAATAGAAAGTAATATTTTAGTTGTCATACTAATGTTAGAATTATTGGTTAACTCTTAGTTAAGTGCTGTATATACAGTAAAAGTTTTATTGTTATTTTTTGAATGTTGTATAAATACTTTGAAATCTTCCTCAAAGTTTCTTTAATAAAAATGTATATCTTTAATAAAATGTATCACCTATAAATCATATATATCGCCTATAAGTCGTATAGTTCTATAAAAGTTAATATTGTTGTATGTATGTTCTCCTTTGTTTTTTAATTACTTTTAAATGAAAAAAAAAAGTTGTATGACCTGAAAAAAAAAAACTATTTATAAACTATTTAAAGTATTTTTTCACGTGATATTGGTTTATATCTTTTAAAAATTTATAAAATTTTTGACTAAGGATTATTACTTAACCTTCAAAGTATATTTCAGTTATTAAGATTCTGTTTTTAGGTGTGCCATTTATAGTTACTGTAGTTACAGCAGCTGTTAAGCCTGCTAACTTAGGCCCACTAACGGACAATGATCCAAAAATGTGAGTTTTTCACTGATTATTTTATCTTTTTACAACTCTTTGTGCAATCTTTATAAATGTGGTGTTTTTGCTATCCATAGATGCGTTGTTCGAGGTATATCGTTTTACTATGGAATACTGTTACCGATATGTATGGTGGTGATCGTCAATTTAGTTTTTATTTTCCTTGTTCTAAGAGGTATTGGTGCTAGTTCTAACGTCAAAAGTAGAATTAATGTTAAAAAAAAAGTGCGCATTGTATTCGGGTGTTCATTGTTGATTGGAACAACATGGATATTTGCAGTTTTAGCAGTCGGAAATCTCCGAGATGTTTTTCAATGGTTGTTTTGTATTTTTAATTCTTTGCAAGGTTTTTTTATATTTTTCTTTTACGTTGCACAAAATGAAGATGTTAAAACACAGTGGCGTTTGCTCCTTGGAAAGAAAAATACCGCGAGAGACGGACCCAGCTAACACAAAACGTTCAACGAACGTTGCGAACGTTCTATAAACGTTTAAAGAACGTACTCAAATGTATAGAACGTTCGTCAAACGTTCTTGAATGCTTTGTGTTAGCTGGGGAATAAGCTCGAGTGGAAATGCGAATCGAAATCAGTTCGCCTCAACTCTTTTTACGAATCGTTCAATAAATCGTGTAACAAGTGGTTTTAGCGAGTAAAAAGATAATAGGAATTAGTTTGTTAGAAGTTTTATTTAAATTAAAATATTATTTATTAATAACTTATTTTCAAATGTATTTATATTATTCTATAAATAATTTTTATTTTAATGGTGTATTTTTATCAATGAGAAAATTCAATAGGTTAAAAATTGATGCAAACAATATAAATCGAATGCTGAAAAAAAAACACAAAATTATAAAAAATAAGTTTTTGGTGTCCTGTAGTATTCTGAAATGTAAATGAGGTACAAAATCTGAAGTATCTTGTAAAGTGTAAACAGTGACCTGATGTGTGTAGATGTAAACGTTAATTGTTTAACATTAAAAAGGGTCATCCTACTACAGCAAAATAACTTATATGCTCAATAAAAATGTTTCGAATTCAACCATAAATTACTTATTAAAAGTCGATTACTTTACAAAGTTACTAAAAAACGTAACTACTTTACAAAAACCTATCGCGGCTGAATCTGCATAATGATCGTATAAAAAATTCGTACTGAAACAAGTTATAAAACAACAGCAACTGAAAGTCCGAAATTCTAATAAGCAAACCAATACAGCTACCAGTAATATCGAATCCAAATAAGTTACAGTTGTATGCAAAAACATAAAAAAACCCATTGAACACAAACAGTTATCAACGCATTCAGCATTGATTAACAATAAAAAAAGAAGCTAGAAAAAAATATTACTTTTTATGGAACTAAAAAATCTGCTAAGTTGTCAGATACAGATAAGCAAACCGGCGATAAGGAATCGGTTTAGAAACCGGCGATAAGGATTTAACCGGTTTAGAACATCTTAGCTCTATGCAAAACCAAAGTTTGCTAAATGTATAAAAACTATAACCTCTAAAGCAGGACCAATTATCGTCAAACTATATGATGTTTCTGATAGAAAACTTATTACTTACAGCTCCAAAAATGTTTAAAAATTCAGGTAGTTGTAAAAATATTTTTGTAAGCCCAAATTTAACTAAGGCTGAAAGATATTTAAACTATCAGTTAATAATGAAGCGCGATAAATTAAATAGTATCAACCTTTGTCAGTTAGTAATAAAAATCTTCCATTAGATCCTTTAATTTTGGAACAGTACCCACTCTTTGAAAATTAGAAAATATTAACCCTGTTTAAAAAAAAAGGTAAATTACTTAATATTGACCTATTTCATAAACCTCTATTGCAGAAAAAAACTTCAAAAACTTGTAAAAAGACAAAATCTTAAATGTAGAAAACTATTGTAGACATGCTGTCTGCAATAATTTTCTACATCATAACTCAGGCATAATTTATCTAATAAACATTTTTGATATTATTTCGTCGTAGCGTCTCACCAGTTTAACATTACTAGTTATGTTTGAGAGCATCCACGTCAATGTTAAACCAGTTTAACATTAACATTACTAGTTATGTTGTGATCTTAGTGTAGTTCTTCAAGATTTAATTATCGGCTTTTTCCATTTCATTCTCTATTCAAACAATCTTGCTCAACTCACTGAAACTTTTGAGATATTTGGGAATGGTACTAACTTTTTTTTTTAAACTTTATTGCAGACTAATCTTGTTGATCTACAAGATCGCCTACGCTTAGCATATAAATGGTCAAACACTTGGTCTCTAAATGTTGTGTCATTCATTACGGTCAAATCAATCTTTGTTACATTTAATTTTTTCAAAAAACCAAGGTATAAATCAATCCATAAGATGCTCTATAAAAAAGATGATTTAAAAATTATTTATAAATTTAGCCTCAAGTGGAGCTCACATAATCATACAGTTGTCTCTAAATCCTTACTTGTTTTTGGTACGTTAAAAAAGACATTCATTTTCATTAACAAAAATATTAGTGTTTTTATCGACTTCGACTAAATCGACTAAAGATCGACTAGTCAAAAGTCGAAATTTGAAAAATCGAATAGTCGATTTAATCGATTATGGACTTTCTGATATTCGACTAAAAGTCGATTTAGTCGAGTAAAAATCTTAATATCTTTTTATTTGATTTAACTTTTTAATCTTTAATTTATGTTATTTAACAACAATAGTGTATACTATTATAACTTTTATTTTGTTTACTCTCTTAAAGATTTATCGAATTGATAGCATGTTAGCATTGTTTATATCTATTAAAACTTTCGATTATTTAATTCATTCTTTTTTATTCTTTTGTTTACTCGATGGTTGTGATTTTCATCGCGGCAAACATACTCGGGGCCCTGGGGCAAAAAATTAAGTTGCGAAGCTCCAAAATCAAAATGTAATTAATCTATACAACCACATTGTAAATATAATTGTAATAACATTTTTGATATATAGCAAGTATTTAAGGCGGCAATCAGCAAAATTACCTGAGCAAGTATTTTTCAACTAAATTGTAATTCTTTTAAAAGTAGACTAAAGCTAGACTCCTGGTTTAGAAAAAAATTGAAACAATTGTTTATAAAACTGGTTGTTTATGGTAAGGTGTTTTCCCTGCTCGTTGTATGTATACATTATAAGTATTTTGAACGATTACGAATATAATATTTGTCAAAAAATTGTCTCTTGAAGTGGATCTTATTATTTTTCTTGAATCAGCTTTTCTATAGTCGAAAATGTATTTGTTTTCATTATTCTGCCAGACCTCAACTAAAATTAAATCAAAATATAATACATGATGCCCTTTTAAAATATTACCTAACAGAATTGATCTATCAAGACTCGTTATGCTGTCTGATTCGATTGTGAAAACTAAATCTAAAGTGCTGTTTGATATAAAATCTATTTGCTAAAAATTTGGTATGTTTAATTGTTAAATGAAATATTCACCTTCAATCATTTCATCGAATTTGTATTTGATTGAGTCAATACTTTAATCTATTAGTGTATCCTATACGACACCGTATATAAAAGTCCTATAGGTATGAACGAACATAAATTCTATTTAATCTTGTTCTAAAACCTTATAGAAGTTTTATCCGATAGGACACCGAATGAACAATACCTTATAGCTTTATGTTTACAGAAATCCTACTTAATTGAGTAGGATTTCTGTACATATAAAACTATAGGAAATCGTTCATTTGGTGAACTCCTGTAAAAACTCCTGTAAGGTTTTGGAACAAGAATGAATAGGATTCTTGTACATAAAAAACTATAAGATAATAGTTTTATATGTATAGGAATCCTATTCAATCCTCTTTGAAATCTTATCGTATTGCCATTTGCAGTTGTCAAAGGACATTTAATAAAAATGTCGTCTAGGGTCCTACATACATTATCTTTTAGTTCTTACTTTAATTAAAACCAATGAATTAAATTCATAAAAAAAAAAAAGGAAAAAGAACAACAGAATATTGAAGTATGCAAACAATTATTGTTATTAAAAATATCAATTATCATTGTTATTAAGATAATGTTCTCTATCAACAATAGTTTTCTTAAAAAACATTGATGCTTTGTTTTGCAAGTTTGCTTTCATCATCGCACTTTGCAGTAATTGTTTTTCTAAACAGCATAATTTTCCCATGGAAATCGCTCGGCTAATAAGTCTGAAAACAAAAATATGAACAAACTAAAAGTTATATACTGTACTAAAACTAAAAGTTATATATTGTACATCATACAAAACAAGGGAAACTAGTGGTGCCAAGTAAAATATTATAAAATCAATACCTAATGTCTTAAACCTTCTTAGAGTCCAAAGCAAGCTTAGATACGCTACTTTTGGCTGAAATACATCAAACTCCTGTCAATGAATGACTTGATAAAACTTAACTCCAAAAAAACCTCAATAGCCAAGTCGACAGCTTGACAACCGCATCCTTAACTAATTGCAGCATACTGATTTGCAGTCAAATGGATATTTTTTCCCTATGTTTATCATAAATTATTTTAATTTGACTCGAAATAAAATTAAGCAATTATAATTTTTAAAACCACGAATACGCCAAGTTTATCAAAGCTATTTTAAAAAATTTAAATTTACGATCGAACTAAACTACAACGCCATCTCATCATTATAAAAATATCGGCTATTAGCAAAAAAAAAAATGTTCGTAATTAATCAAAAGTTTTGTTACTAAAAGAAAAATAATTTGAAGCAAATTAAAACATAATGGAATATATAAAATTCCGTTAGACTTTAATTTTCTTGAAACTGACACGTTGTAATGTTAGTTGATTATAAATTTACAGTGAGAAAGTTGTATTTTACATTTAAAATCTATTGGACTTAATAAATACTTTCTCTAGGATATTGGTTTATTTCTATAGGAGTCCTATAAATCTTGTAGGAACTATATGATTTATATAGGATTATACTATTAACACTATAGCAGTTTTAATCTTCTTATTTGAATCCTATTGGACTTATAGAACTGCAATTGCATTCCTATAGGTATCATATTGGTTCCTTAGGAATCTTAAAGCAGCTAAAGGATACTCTATAGAATCTATAGGAGTGCATTATAAACCAAAAGGGAATGCCAAAATTTTATAGAACCAATATGAATCCTAAAGGACCAATAGGACTGCAAAAGGATTCCTATAGAACCTATAAGAAATATAAATAAATAGTTTTTCTAGAATTAAATGTTTTTAAAAAAATATTAGTTTGGATCTATTAACTAAAATTTTTTATAAAAAATACTTATATTTTTACATTAACCCCCTCCCCCCCACCTTGTATTAAGGACTAGAGAGTATATTACTATGTTTTTTGCACTTATTTCTATTTTTGTTTCATTGACAGCGACATTCACAACTGTTAGCTGCTTGATTGGTTTTGTGAAGTGACTTTTTACTGTTGTAGACCATAATAATAATAATAATAATAATAATAATATTAATAATAATAACAATAATAATAATGATTTAAACACAAGGTTAAACTGATTTTTTTTTAAATGATGATTAATGAGAAACCCCCATAGATATACCCAACTTTATTGCATTCATTATCGTCTGCAAACATTATGCTCATTAGTTTCAAGGCTTGAATTAGATTATTTAAACAGCTTAAAAAAAAAATAATTTATAAATTAAACATTATAAAAGAATTAAACCTAAAAGATGAACGGTTTGATAACAGTCATTAAACCTATCAGATTTTTAAAATACTTTTGAGATTTTGCGAACAAATTGGATAATTGCATACTCTGTTGAGTTAACTTTAAACCAAATTAAAAATATTTGTATAATTTGTTTGAATACAACTTTTCAAATATTTTTCAAAACGTAAGAAGAAGAAGGGACCATTTAAGAGAAAGTAAAATCTCATACAACGAGATTTCCCTTAATCTACTTACGCTGATCATTGCAAATAAAACTCATATTTTACTACGTGCAATATGCAAATACGACTGTAACATAGCAGAACAATTGTTGATAACCAAATATATAGAAATTTATAAATAAAACGTTTCCAAATACTTTTTTTTTTATATATAAAAATTTATACTACAATATAAAAAATTCTATAAATAAACTCCGTATTATTAAAAGTTGAGAACACCGTACTACTAATATTAGCAAATAATAAACAATACAAAAGATATAAAAAAAACAACTGTTTTACGGAAAATAAAAATAAAAAAAAACAACCAGTATTTACACCATTAAATAAATATTACAATAGAGAAAAAAAACAACTTATTTATACTAAATTATAGGCTGCAATATTCAAACTTTTTAAGTGTAAAAAGTGTAATATTCGAATTTTAAAATTAGCACATAGATTTATATATTTTCTTTTAATTTTAACAATTATTTGAATACTTGATTTAATTTTTAAAAGAATTTAATAGTTCAATTAAATACTAAACAATATATAGAAATAATTTCCATTTTTAGTATAAAGGTAAACGCTTTATTTATTAGAAATATAAAAGACAGTGAGTTCCCTCTTCTAGAACAAGATTTACACAACCTTTAAAAATTGTAAGCCAATGATAAATGACACAATCCAATAATGTAAGAGTCCAGGTCAAACATTATCGATTGGTAAATGACCGGGTTCTTGTGGAGCAAATGGAAGTAAGAAACCAGGACGATCGGTTTGCTAAAAAAAAAGCCTTAAGTAATTACTAAATATTAGAGAAATATTAGTAAATACGTAATTTTACGTACTCTGAAGCGCTTAAAAATTAACCCCTGACCCAAATTGTTTACTTTTAAATATCTAATCTTTGATTGCAGCTACTCGTTGATGACATTTTAAAAGCGTGAGAGAAGACACAAGCTTAGTATTTCTTTGTTGTACTGCTTTAAGAGCGTAAATAAAAAATTACCCCAGATGTCAAAACAAAATTTCAGTGGATTTTTTTAACATTTACCATTTTAGTGGATTATTTAATTTTCTGCAAATTAGTTAGCCATTTTTTACATTCATATTACCTAATTACTATGCAAATAGCAACAGAACAATAAATATTATCTAAGAGAAGATCATAGCCTACTTAAATAAACGGCTTTTTATTCTGCTTAAACCGGAAAAAAAAAGAAGGCCAGTTAAAAAAGTACATATTTTGTTAGATGGACAATCTTTCTCAAAATATTTTAATTATTAAGCTATAAATTTTAAGTAAATAAATATGGCACGGGATAAAAATTTTTGCGTTGGCTTAAACGAAATATCTACTATATTTCACTAAACTTTGTAAACTTTTAGGCTTTTTTTTAGGTTTCTTTTTTGTAATAAATAGTAATCATGATTAATAAATGCTTTCTTTTTTTTGAAAACAACACAACATTTATTAACCTTCATAATTATTAAAAAATGATTTTATTATACATATTACTAAAATGATTTTAGAAAGATGGTTTATATTTGTCAGTAGAATTTTTGGGATAACCAAGGACTGTACAAGAAATAGGTATTTGAAACAAAAGATTCTAATTTTTTTCTGTCTTTTTTTAAAGTCAACAATGTTATCTACAACAATAGAACCACTGACTCTCTTTCTGATGTTATTAAAATATTTGAAATAATAGTGAGTATGATTTCCTTTCCACAATTTTGGCGATTTAAACACAAAAATGGTCGGTAACCTTCTCTATTGCCAAGAATTAACTTTGCTGCTTTACGATGTTGCATTTGAGACTAATAAATAAAATCAATTACATGATCTAACATAGCAAAACTAACAGGCATATTTTAAAAGGGCTAGTGATGGAGTCGTTAGCCCCCCTCTGACAACTTATTTAAATAACTATAGTCATTCGAATCCTGTTAAGTACAAAGCAATTTGAAACACATTTTAAACTTCTTAATCAGTTTTTGGCAATAAAACCAGCAATATAACTGGCAACTTCACGAGAACCATTTGATAAAGTCACACAATCTAAATCTCTATCTTTGATCTGATCCATCAAGGATCTAGCATGTTGTGTACATTCAATTGAAATAATAATGTGCATGATTTCCTTTTCACAATTAGTATCATTTTCAAACATTGTAATTCCTTCCTTTAATAAACTTTTTATTTGGATTATCTTCTCACTATAGATAACATATTTCAAACCTGCCACCACTTATTTGGCAGTATTGTACAAACCTTCTTTCTAACAGAACACTTTTTTTTAACAGAAAACGAGCAGTCAATATAAATTTATAATTATCTTTAAATAGATTTTCTATAAATGAAGCTTGACATAATAAAGTTCTTTGTGGTGCTGATGTTTGAGGAGATAATGTATATTTCTCAAAATTAGGGATTAATAATAAATAATGAAAAATTTTCTAATAAATCATGAAAAATTTTCCACAATATTTTTCCTGGTTGAATGTGAATTTTATCTTTAAAAGCTAAAAAAGAAATTCTGGAAAAAATAAACCATTTTTAAATTAGTAAATTGTTTCAAATTTTTTAATCAGATGCACTGTGAAAAAGAATAAATAAATTTTTTGTGATTGTACATGAATAAACAAATCGTTTTTTACCATGTGCATTAAGCAACTTTGTAAAAGAGGAAACATTTGAAGCATGATTGTCACAAACAACACTTCGAACATTAAAACTATTTTTTATTAGAGAATCAAACCAAGAATTTCAGTTTTCAATCAATCACTGTTTAATTTTATAATCGAAACTGCTTTGATGACACAAGAGGTATTTTCTTTTAAACCAACTACCACAAAAGTAACAATGCGTCTATAAAATTCATTTTCTTCACTAATCCCAATTACATCTTCTGGTGGATACTTTGCACATTTTTGCAAATACATTTCATTAAAAATTATTATAAGATCATTTGATAAGCTACCATTTTTATGTAACAATTCCAAAACTTATAGAATCAATTTCACCTGCTTTAAGCTTGCTTAACAGTGATATAGATGGAAGAGGGAATTCCTTCAGCAGTAAATGATAAATTTGCAATGATGTGTAACGCAACATCAAGGCAAATTGAAGCATATTTGAAGAATAAATTTGATTTTTTTTTATTTGGTGACTTTTAAGTTCTTCAAGAATGGAAGACAACTTTTCTTTTTTGATGCTAAAATGGGAATTAAAGTTTTTCAGCATACTCTTTTTCTTTAAAATATATTGGTGGGTTACTTCGAGTCAAGGTGGCAAAGAAAAAGATCTTTATTAAAAAGTTTGACATAAAGATTTTTGTCAATACGAATACATTCAACAACTTCAAGTATGTGTAGTTCATTTTGAATAATTTTATGGAACACGACACATTCATCAAATTTGGAAAATGAATATCCTGTTAGTGAATCAGCAACAGTAAGAGAATTAAGATCTTCAATATCATTTGATAAAAACTTCTGATATTCATCTTCTTTTTTTAGTTAGTAATTTTCTTGGTATAAACATAACTGGAAGTGAAGCAGTTACTATGCTGGTAGAGTATATTGTAGGAACAGGCTTCAAATTACAAACAAAATTGTTTTTCTGATGCTTCTTTGTGTACTACACTTTCATAAAAATGTGATAAACAGATCACAGGTGATTTAGTGACAGCCCAACAATTTCTATTTATAAATCTAACCCATAACTTTCTCAAGTCATCATCTTTTGGAAAACCAAAGAATGGTAACACTTCACCACAATTATAATTTGAGGTACAACCAGCAACACAGCATTTACTAATTATTATTATTATTAATAACTAAAAAGTAGCCACAAATAACAATACAAAGTTGATGAAGTTTAGTAGAGATGTCTATTAATCTAACGCAAAAACTTTTATCGGTTTCAGATATACTTACTTAACATTTTTAGGGCAATAATTAAATATTTTTGAGAAAGTTTGTCCATATAATTGAATATATGTTTTTTTTAAACTGGCCTTCTATTTTTTGATTTAAGCAGAAATGTAAGCCGTGTATTTAAGTAGGTCTTGGAGAAGATATAGCATGAAATATTACTTAAATGTAAACAATTAAACAGTAAAGTCATAGATGAAAAAACTTGTTAATCCAAACACATTAATGGTCAATTTACACAAACATAATTATAACATTACAAGTTAAAACAATGTCAAAATACTTTAAGGAGGATATCTTGAGCTTTTAGTACAATACCTCAAGCAAGTACAATACACATTTCATTGGAAAACATAACAGATAACAAATTATGATAAAACATGAAATTAATATACTTTACATATGACTTTTAAAAAGAAAAAAGAATATCTTAAAATACCTTCAAAGCATCTGAACTATTAGAGAGCTGACCATTAGAGGTAATTGGATCAGTGACAGTTCTTTCACTGGTCGGACCATTTATGCCGGACTGATTATTTTCTAAAGCATGCTCCATATTACTCCCAATACTTGAATTTGATGATGTAATCTGAATATCTCCAGATGCAGTATTTGATATATTTCCCAAACTAGGACTTAAGGTTGTCAATAAAAAGTCATGAGTTGTTGGAATGGATTCAGGAATCAAAGATTCGCGAGTTAATGGGAAGAATTCAGGACTTAAAGATGCAGGAGTTAAAACTTAAAGAAAAAAATTTTAAAAAATTACTTTAAATATTTTAAAATAAAAATTTTAAAAATTATCAAACATTTTAAAGGTAGTAAAATATCTTTAAAATGTTTAACAATTTTAATTTTTAGCATCATCAAATTCAAGTTAAAAAGCAATTTAATTATAATTGTATAAAATACATAAAAATTTTAAAAATTATTTTTATATTAAAATTTTAAAAATTATTTTAAAAATTTAATTTTTTAAAAATAAAAGTAGTTTTTAAATTTAAAAGTAAAAAAAAATTAAAAAATTTAATACTCACGTTTTTTATTATTCACTAAATTAAACTTTTCTAAAACTCCTTTTACATTTTTCATCTCAAGAGTCTAAAAATATGAAAAAAATAAGTTAAAACAAAAATCTGTGCTGACAAGTCATATTGAAGAATAAATACAGTACACTTCTAATAAATACAGTACACTTCTAATATTCACACTTTATATTACACACATTACACTATTATATATATTACACACACATTACACACTTCTAATATTTCTAATAAATACAGTACACTTCTAATAAATAAAGTAGACTTCTAATAAATACAGTACACTCCTAATAAATACAGTACACTTCTAATATATACAGTACACACCTAATAAATACAGTACACTTCTAATAAATAAAGTAGACTTCTAATAAATACAGTACACTCCTCATAAATACAGTACACTTCTAATAAATACAGTACACTTCTAATAAATACAGTACACCCCTAATAAATACAGTACACCTATAATTAATACAGTACTCTTCTAATAAATACAGTACACTTCTAATAAATATAGTACACTCCTAATAATTTAAAACATAATAACTTAAACTTCCAGTAACTCAAACAATTTTTGAATTCTTTTTGAACCTTCATCAATATTTCTTATAAAAACCAAAAATAACCTGGAACCTTTCATAAACTTAAACATTTGCTCTTATTTCAAGCAAAGAACTTTTTAAACTGTTCGTGACTAATTTTTAGCAATAACTCAAACTTAAGAAAAAAATTTTTTCAGAAAAATATTTTTTCAGAAAGTTACTTTTTTAATAAATAGTTTTTCAATAAATTAAACTGTTCTTTTAAAATATAAATAAACTTTCTTTTTTCAGTGAATTTTAAAAGAAACTTTTCAATTTCTTCCCTATATGCTATAATGGACACAGCCCTAAAGTAAGTTATTTTCAGAAGGTATTGACTATATGGCTTCTCAGTCTTAAAGAGCAAGAAGATGATTGACAAAAGTTAAAGGCTATATGAACCAGGAAAACATAAAGGTGAGTAAGCTTTCTTATTCTTTTTTAATAAAAAATATAAGAAAGCTTACTCACCTTTATATTTAATTTACTAACTAACGCTTTGTTAATGCTGATGAAACTCAGTGGGGGAGAGAGGTTTATAAGATTTATTATTTTTACTAAATTTGTACTCCTTAAAGAGATCATGTTCTGATCAAGATCTCTTTAAGGAGTACAAATTTACTTTTTATAAATTCATTTTATTGAGCTGACTTCAAAATTAGACAAGCATTTTCTAAGGTTGTAGAGTCAAATAGTGGCAGAGTTAATAATTTTTTTATAACACTATAAAAATCTTTTTTCAAATGTGGGAGTTCAGCAAATAATTTGCCATTACAAGCAAGTAATGAGACAACCAGGAAATTTTGGACTATAGCAACAACAATAATGACTTAAAACAAAGATATGTAAAGATTTATTTTTATTGTATATTGTTTTTTGATATTTATTGAATAAACATTAAAAAATAAACATAACATTATAAATCAACAAGCACAAACTAAACATTTGTATGCTTGTTCAAAAATAAAATATTGAATAATTTAAAATGTCAAAATGTAGATGAAATAGTACTCTATATGTAAAATATAACGAAAAATGATTTTTTTTCTGTCTATTTAAAGCTGTTAAAGTTGAGTCAAATTTTTCGTAACTATGCTTTATGAAATTTAATGGATATTGTTAATATTCAATTTTATTAGTAATGTAAACATTTAAAATATTAAAAAGCCTTATATCATAGATCTTTTAGTGACTTTAAAACCTTTATAAAATAGTTTTTAAAATATTGCAAAAAAAAAAGTTGTTTTTATGATTAAAACTTTTAATGTAATTTTTTTAATGTAAATGTTTTCTATTGTTTATAACAAGTTAAAGGATATCTTATATTTTTTAATAACTAAAATTTTTTGGCAAACAAAATGACTTGAAAAAAAAGAAGACAGCAAAATGTTACAATAATAAAAGTTAAATTTTTAATACAAATAGATACTAAATATAATGACTAATAATTGACAAATATTATTATATAAACTCCACCAGTTACTATCATAATATAAAGTCCACCAGTTACTATCATACTATAAAGTTAAATCATTATTCAAATTGGATTTAACAGTAAATAAAGGAGATAAAAAGTCTAATGAAAAACATTTAAAATATCTAGTCAAAGTCATCTGTAGAATATCTTTCTGATAATGATTATAAAATTCTAATACCGCAAATAATAATTTAATGATAAATTATAATTAAAAAAATATAAAAAACAAAATGTAATAAAAAAAAATAAAAATATTTTTACTGTAATATTAATAAAAATTCTTACTAAATTATTTAATATAATTAGATTTTGAGATATCTCATATTGCAACAATTTTCCTCTGTTTATATTTTCTAACCATACTCTGTTAACATCATTGTGAAGACTTGTCTATTTTAAATATTCAAAAAAAAATTTATTTAAAATAATTAAAACTATATATATATATATATATATATATATATATATATATATATATATATATATATATATATATATATATATATATATATACATATATATATATATATATACATATATATATATATATATATATATATATATATATATATATATATATATATATATATATATATATATATATATACATATATATATATGTATATATATATAAACATATATATATCAAAATATATGTATACATATATATTTATAATATAGGGAAGACTAGGGTAATTTGACCATCTTGGTAATATAAGCATACTTAAAGTTTTCGTAGATCCAAGCAGTTAAGTTAAAGTTGCTTTGTTTGTTTTTTTTAATCAACTTTATGTGGTGATACCAGAAATCAGTACAACTAGCATAAATTTATATGCAGTAATTAGTGGCTATTATCTAATTAAAACACTGTTAAATTTTTTGTGTTGTTAAAATAATATTATCACGCATAAATAAATCTGTGGCGCAAAACTTTGGAGCTAAATTGTAAAATTAATTTATTCATAAAGAAAGATATGTTAGCTAATCCATTTTTGTTTGAAAACAATGCATAGAAACATTTAGTTTTGACTTTAATTAAAGATGCCGCTTTTGTGTAATATGAACATGCTCAAATTACTGAGTTTTTCATTGAAATTGCCTAGTTTAAAGTCCTAAAATAGCAGTGGTTTTATTTGCTTTTTTGATAAAAAATAAATAATAGTAAAAAGTTTTAATATTTTAACAACACAAAATATATAAAATATTTAATATCTAATAAATATTTAAATACTATACATACTAAATATTTTTCTGTATATTAAATTCAAAAATCTTGAATTTTTATCGTTCAAAGGTCAGAGTTAATATAATTGAAAAAATAACAAACTTCATTTTTTATTTTTTTGCGGTAAACATAGTAATATTGTTTCAATAAAAAATGGCTTAAAATTTGATCTTTTAATGATAAGTTTTGTTAATAACAAATCATCATGTTCCAAAAATTAGTTCTAATTGTCAGATTGGTACTTTTTTACTTAATAATATTTTTTGAGCTGGTCTGGGTAATTCGAGCACTTTGGCTACATTTTTAAAACCTCTGTGTTTTTAAGAAAAATATTCAGGTGACCAAATATCTAAGTGGATTATGAGTAGGGATCCCTATTTTTTTTTGCAAAAAGTTTGGATCCAGCATAATTTTCGCTTAAGGTGCTCATATTACCATAATCTACCCTATATATATATATATATATATATATATATATATATATATATATATATATATATATATATATATATATATATATATATATATATATATATATATATATATATATATATATATATATATATATACATATATATATATATTATATATATATATATATATATATATATATATATATATATATATATATATATATATATATATATATATATATATATATATATTATTTAAAAAAATAAAATAAAATTTTGCAACTACTCACAAACTGACTGTTTGAAGTGTTAGAAAGTGCTTGCACAAAATCATCAATCTCTGATAACTTCTTGTTCATAGAAATGTTTAAAGAGTCAGTTAAACTTTTCACGATATTCAATTCCTTTTAAAATTAAAAAAAAAAAAACTAACAACATTAAGATTATATAGAATTAACTAATCTAAATAAAATATTTTAAATCAATTTAACTAATTCAAGTGATCCTATTTCATTTTACTATTACTTTATAGTAATTTTTTGCGGTGATTAACCAAAGCAAACAGACTCAAGTTAAAAGAATATGACAAAAACATTCACAGCAACACATGTTGAAGATCAAATCACATGAAAACACTATCTTAAAGTTTATGAACGAAAGAATTAGCAAACTCTAGAAAAAGGTTGTAAATGCAATAAATAAAAATTAAGAATCAAAAACAGAAAACAAAATTAACAAAGCAATTAACTTTCAAAACGAAAAATATGAAAAGATTTAAAATGAATCCATTAATACCAAAAAAAACTTTAAAGGAAACAATCAATAATAAACAAGAATCTAGTTACATACATAATGAAGCAATAAATGATGAGTTGGAAAATAGTAGTAGGTACAACAACTTGAAGTCTGATGAAATTCTTGATGGTAAACTAAAAATTAAATCTTCTGTGAGGGAAAAACTTGACATCACTCATCAAGTTGAAATTGAAAAGGCACGCGAAGTTGGTAAAAGTTATGAGTCTGGGAAGAAAAAAAGGAAGAACTACTGTTGTAAAATTTTTGAGTTTTGAGAAAGAGTGTGAAATAATTTTGGGAAAGAAGTAAATTATTGAGTGAGAAAATATTTATCAATAAAGACTTTTAGCAATCAGAAACTGAAAAAAAGAAAACAGCTTTTTCTTCAAACAAAAGACCTTCACACAGCAGGTATGTATGCTAGAGTAATTTATAACAAATTAACAACACATTAAAAAGATGAGGCACAAATTCTAGAGAACTTTTTTTTATAAAAATTTATCGTTTATTCATAAAATTTTTATCATCTACAATAAAAATAATAATAACATAATTTATCAAATAATTTATTGCGAGTTTAGAATACAAATTTTAAGTAAATTCTTTTTAAGCCACTGATTAACTAATTTTACAACATGGCTAAACAAACAATAGATTTTTAAAAACAACACTTAAATGTTTTTGAATAGACAAGTGTTTTACCTAATGATCTTTACAATCCAGATTTCCATTTTTTTTTTAATGGAAATAGTTTTAAATCACAATTTTTTGACATAGGAACTTTTAAAAATAAACTCAAATTATTAAATAATAACTTAAAAGCAATAGACATAAATATAAAAAGTTTAATCAACAATATTAAATTAATTTTTTTTGTTCAATGCAACTATTTATTTGGCATAATTTGCACAACAGAGACTTGGTGTACAAAATTCCAAACTACAAACTTATATCTTTAGAGACCATCTTTGGACCTACAATGCAGATAGTGAAGTTTTTACAATGGCAATAATAAACCCAAAATTTAAAAACATATTGGTGCCTATTGCAATAGACCCATTTGAAGGTAATCTTCCTGCTATAGACCAACCTGAAGGTGATTTTGTAATTATTTAAAAAAAATTTCTAAAAAACAAAAGAGCACAAAATCTTAATCTGTATCGAAGACAAAAACATAAATTTTTACAGTACAATGAGATTCTGATACCAAAACCTTTTTTGACAATATGTTTCAACATTATAATTTCCCATTAATAAACAAACCCAACCAAGTAACATCAAATTCAACCACTGCAATAGACAATATATTGACAAACTCATTTTATAATTCATCATTATGCAACAATAACCAAGAAATATATATACAATCATTTTTCAATATACTTTTCACTACTCAAGACACAAAAAATAAATCTAAAATTAAAATCCATAGCAAAACAAAAAATTAATAAATTTACTATCCAACAATTTAAAGACACTTTATACCAAATTCTTCAAAAATTTAATAAAAAAACTTTAATACTTACAAAAATTACAAATACTAATTTCAAAATAAAGAAAAAAAGTTTTAATTTCTTTATTTTTTTAGTCAAAATTATTTGATTTAGTCAAAATCTCATAAAAAATTACAATAACAATAATCCAATTGATGAAAATAAGAACAATTTTTTTGTAAATATTGGTCCTAATCTCAGGCCTTAAAAATTAATTGTTCTAATCATTCATTTTAATCAGTGAGGCCCAAGGTAAACTAAAATACAAAGAACTAAGTTATGCAGTCATTGCTGGACATTGCTTTAAATTCCTGGAAACTAAATAAAACTCCAGGTATTGATATTTGTAGTAATGTAGTATTAAATGTCTTCAATAAAAAAGTTATATTTAAAATTTTTAAGTCATCAATTAAGGCAGGTGTTGTACAAGAAAAATTAAAAATAGCTAAAACTGTACAAATTAGAGCTTTTACCAAAAAATTACTTGTAAATCAGCAAAATTGTTTTACTGATTTAAAGTAAACTTTTTAAACAAACTTCAAGAAGATTTGACAACAAAAGCAGGCCTTGCGATAAAGCGTCAGGCGATGTGAAATTAAGTCGTTCAAGAGCGATTATGCGTGTAGCTAGGGCTATTTGCGTCAAGCAAGATTTTTTTGTTTGAGTATATTTAAAGATATTTTTGAGCAGAATTTTAATGAAGTAATTTACAATTATTTTAACATTTAATAAAGTATTTTAAAAAACCGCACGCAGTTGATATAAAAGTTTGAATTACAAAAAAATTAAATATGCTCATTATATACTAGTAGAAAATATTCAGATTAAAAAAAAAGTTTAAATCTTTTTAAGCTAACATTTTAATAAAATTATTCAGCAATAGCAAAGTTGTTGATAAAATTGAACAAAAATACTTTCTTTTAGTTTTAGATTTTTAACTTAAATAATTATTTTACGGGGGTTTGTTAGGTTTTAAAATTATTTCATAGATTTAAAAATATTTATTAATTCTCATATTTAACCATGTAATGTTTTCTTTTTTTTATTTTAGCGCACCTTTTATTAAATATTGTTCAATATGCAAATTTTTTCGCTGAAATATATCTTTTACACCTATAAGAATTTTATTCTAACATTTTATTTTATTTTATTTTACTAGAAATAAAATTCCTTGTAAACATTAAAAATATATTCAAGACATTCATTAAAGTTTTTTAGTAATACAAGTGATTGTGCTTATCAACCGCTTTATGAAAAGCAAATAAAAAGAATTTAATGATGTCAAAAATCACGTCGTGCTTATGCGTCGCACAGTTTTTATTCATCACAAGGCCTGCAAAAGCTGTAACAAAATCAAAAAAGCCAAAGATTTCAACTTTTTTCCCAAAGCAACACATTGAAGTGACTTTAAGACTTACAACACTGGATAAGTTTGGTTTCCATGCCATTGCTAACTGCTCTTTCAATCAATCTGCAATGTGTGAAAAAGGTTACAATTTTCCAAAATGTCACAAGCAAGCAAGCCAGTCAGTTAAAAAGTTTGCTGCTAGTGTGAGAAATGATCATAAAAACACTTTTAATTAATTAGTGAATTTAAAAAAAATGCTTTTTCACTGGATGAGTACATATCGTTCAAAAAATGAGGGTACATGAATATCAATATTCATCAAAAACACATATAATGGAATCTGAATCTCTACCGCCTGAAAAAGCTGCAGCAGTTGTCACAGAAAAATGGCAGAATGTGAGTTGAACATTGACAATAGCATTATCAGCCATAAATTATATAACAATAAATTATGCAACGCTAAATTTTACTAATAAACAAAACAAAGAAGATCAAAAGTTTTCCCTTGCAGAGCCTTAAATAAAAAATAACCCATTAAGTTAAATAAAAATCATTGTGTAAAAGAGCATAAAATCTCCTACTTCTGTTTTTTAAATTAGTTTAGCGTTGTGTAATTTACAGACTATTTCTTAGGGAATGTTTATTTTATGTCCATTTTTTTTAAATATTAAATAAATAAATTTACAATGGCATTTTTAAAATTGTTTGATATAAACAAATTTATTTCTTTTCTCAACATTTGAATAAATAAATTAAAATAAGTTAAATTTTTGACTTTATTAATTTATTTACTTTATTAAAAGTTTATTTTTTTATTAGCTATTTTTTTTAATTTTGTTGAGAAAGCAAAGATTATTTTTCCACCACCATTTATCTTAAAATCACTGTATATATCATTTATTAAAAATAATTGCTTAAACTTGCGTTATAAAAAAAAGTTTAACTTCAATTTTGTGCAAATTTTTTAATGCTGCTTCGAAACCAGGGGTGTGGAGTCGTGAAAAAAAAAAAGTACTAACTCCAACTCCAAAGCAAAATTTTTGAAAAATTCTTTGAATTCTTTAAAATATATTACGCGATAAGTTGAAAAATTTATTTTTGCTAAATTTTTGAAAAGTTTTTTGAGGTTTAGTATAAATATAAGGTTTATTGAATATTTTGTGCATGCACATGCAATACCGAGAAGTTTTACTATTGGAGTCAGAGTCATGATTTTGTATAGCGACTCCGACTCCGCTAAAAATGTTGCGACTCCACAGCCCTGCTCGGAACACATTTATTCAAAATTTAATTTTGAGTAAAAAAAAAATCTTTAGGAAGAAAAACCAAAAAAATAATTGCGATAAAAATGAGCTAACTTTTTTTAAGAATAAATAAAATTTAAATATTGAATATTTAGTAATATTTTTAAATAAATTTGAAGTTAAACCCAAGTATTAACATTAATTTTAATAAACTTAAATATATTTTTTTAATCAGAAATAAATTATAAATTTTTTTTCAAATCAAAATTAAATAATATTATTTTATCAGAACAAAATTATATATTTTTATTAAATTTGCTTTAAATCAAATGATATGTTTTTTATCAGAATTAAATTGTAATAATTATAATCTTGGCTTCAAGTTTAACGTATTAACATTTTTCAAGCAAAAAAATCAATAATTACAATTAATAATAAAAATATAAATTATAATATAAAATAAAGATATACAAAATTCAACATTTTTTTATTACTAATATTTTATTGCAACCAAAAGTTGTATAAACATTGTTGTACTCTCAAGATGATAAATAAAAGTTTTTATTATATATATTTCTTTTAAATTTTTTTTCTAAGACTTTTGACAAAGTTTGGCATGTTGGTCTTCTCCATAAGCTTGGTTCACATGGCGTATCTGGGAAAGTATTTAAGATTATCAAATTGTTACTTTCTAACCGCTTTATTAAAGTCATCCTCGAAGGCCAACACTCTTCTTTATTTCCAGTAACTTCTGGAATACCTCAAGGTTCTATCCTTGGTCCTGTTTTGTTTATTATCTACATTAATGATCTTCCCGACAACTTTGCATCTAAAATAGCTCTTTTAGCTGATGACTCAACTTTATACTCCTGTCTTGACAAAAAGTCTTCTCTTTTCGATCGCTTAGAACAGCCGATCTTGAATCCGATCTCACTTCTGTAACTGATTGGGGTTTGCAGTGGCTTGTAAATTTAACTCAAACAAAATTCAGTTATTTAGTGCAAACAACTATCGTAGTACTATCGACATTCCTATATTGACGTATGGCAACCCTCTCACTGAGTCCTCTTCTTTACATCTATTTAGATTATCATTTAATACTGACCTATCATGGAAACCATATATGCCAATCAAATGCTAAATTAGCATATGCTAAGGTTGCTTCTCTTTAGAATGCTCACTATTTTCTCCTTCCTGATTCCATTCTCTACCTCTATAAATTTCTTATTCGTCCCTGTATGGAATACTATTGTCATATTATCATATGTCATACTATTGTCATATATGTCATATGGTTCTTCTATTGATGCTCTTTCTCTTCTAGACAAGGTTGATAATTGTATTGTAAACGTAGTTGGACCCTGTCTATTTGCTTAGCTTGAGCTTCTTTCCCATTGTCATTAAGTTGCATCTCTTTCTCTTTTCTGCAATACTATCATAGTCGCTGCTCAAAGGAGCTTTCGTTTCCATTAAACAAAACTGATTCTTGCTTGACTTGCCATTCATCAAAGTCTCATTATTTTACTGTATCTCTACCTGCATGTTCCAAAAACGTCATATTTGTCTAACTTTTTTCCCCGCACTTCACCTTTTGGAGGTCTCTCCCATCATCATGTTTTCCTGACTCGTACAACCTTCAACTTTTCAAGTCTTCTGTCAACCGTTACCTTGCTCAATAACTCTATTCTTTTTTTCTAGTAACTCCCAACTTAATAGTGTTTGCTTGCAGCCTTGTTGGGAGTAAATAAAAGTCAGAATAAAAAAAAAATGACATTGTTGACTTTTGCTAACAAATCCAGATGAATAAAAATTCATTAAAGAGGGGTGTGGCTTGAAAATATCAAAAAAATCTACTTTCACTAAAGGATGAATACAAAAAAACAATTCAGCATTCAGCTGAATTCAGCTTCCTCTAGTTTATTCCAAAAAGTATTGTAAAAGAGTCTGAGTGAGTTCTGCTGCTGAATTATTTGTGACAAAAAGAAGACAAAAAGCTGCTGAATTATTTGTGACAATTTTTTTGCTTTTTAATTCATTTGAATGAATTAAAAAGCAAAAAAATTGTTATGAAATGAATTAAAAAGCAAAAAAATTGTTACGAATAAATTAAAAAAAAAAAAAAAATTGTTACAAAAATTTACCTCGTGAGAATTTCAACTATAGAAAACATATTTGTTTAAATGCAAAAGTTGTTGTATGAAAAATTTAATGTAAAAAAATATAAATTTTTTTTCAAATAACAAAAAACATCCAGAATTTCTTGAAAATTAAACGAGTTTTAAGTGAATTTCCGGAATTTCGAGAATTCCTAGAAAAAACTCATCTATGAATTTAATATCAGTTTCTACAATTTTTTTAAAATTTTTACAGATTTTACCGATATTACCAGTAAATCAGTAGAAAATTTTAACTAATTTACTGGTAAATTTAAATGTCTGTCAGGTAAATTTAAACGTCTCAAAAATTTTGAACTCAAAACAATAAATAATCTTGTCACTATGTTTTTTAAAAACTAAGATACCCCATACTCAATTCAAACAGTTTTATTAATATGTATTAAACACTTGTATGTATCACTTGCTATTATTTAACAATGATGACCATGTATTATGAATCATGAGTTTAGTTAAAATATATACCCGAGTATGTAGTAAAAAAAAAAAATTAAGATAAACATTATTGGTTTATTAAGTATTTTTTAAAAAGTATTAAATAATAATTTTTTTTTTATAACACAATTGAAATCAAACTTTGTGGTAAATCTAAAATGTAATATTTATGATATAGTTTGAATAAATAGTTAATTGTTTTAAATAAAATAAATAAGATGAGTTGCAACTTACATATATAAATTTCATACTAACATTATCAATATCTCGATTCTTTGTACTTTCTGTATGATTTGCACTGGTTTGCTAAAAATTAGGAAAATTAAATATTATTAATAAAAGTTGTCATTAAATAGTATAAAAACAAATATAAATTAAAATTATCTAAAATTTGACATTTTATTCAAAATTAAAGTAATTAGTAACAAAAATTATTAATAAACCAAATAAATCAAGCACTTATTTTTATTATATTTATTAAATTCACAATTATTATAAAAGAACTGCATAATTACAAAAACTGCATGCATAATAATGCATTTCGTTTTTATAATAATTATCTTTTACCCTCACTCCTCCTATATCTATATAACTCCTATATCACTATCTATATAATTACTTTTTCTAAAAAAATTATAAAATGGGTTAAAGAAGTTTCAAAATTTTTTTTTGTTTATAATTTTTCACAGGTTTCAGGTCTGACATAAAAACACAAGATCATCATCACAAAAAGATCACAAAATCAATATCCCAAAAAAATCACAAAATTGTACTGAAAAGCAAGAAACTGGGATAGTTTTTCTGTTTAAATAATAAACTGAATGTTCTCCATAAAAAGAAGATGACTAAAAAAGAACACCGTGTTTTTTTTATAACTGATTCACTGCCAAAAAGGTTACAAGCAACCATATTTAAATTAGGAAGCAAAGGATATTGTTTAAGAAAAAGAAAAGGGTTGAGCAAAGACTTAAAAAACTGTATATTGTATGAGTATGATACATGAAGATGGAAGAGAGTTCCGAAGTACTGTGTGAGAAAAAAAACTAGATGAATAAAAGTTTTTAGGGCATGAAAGAACAGATGCAAAAGTATTGCTGAATGAAGATCAAAGCAAGTTTTTTGGTTGATGAAACTAAATAGCTCGTTTGAGCAGAAATCATTATAATAATTTGTTGTAAAGAACAAGAGACACAACCTTAAAATGATGAAATAATGGCTAGGCAGGCTTAAAGATAGAAAGAATGATTAAACCTCGAAAAATTTCCCAAGTAAACAATAATAAATCTAATTTTTTACTTTATATTTTCTATTATAGTTTTCGATGTGGATTTATATAAAAAAGTAATTTGCAATATTTATAATAAAAATTGCACTGGTGATTAACCAGATAAAAAAACTGCGTTCATCAATTTTGGTTGAAAATAAGTTAGAATTTCCAATTTTAAATATATTATGACATTTTAAAATTTAAAAGTTCCGATAGACAAATTATTTTCATAAAAATGGCCTCTCATAACAAATAACAAAGCACTAAAATTTCCAAAATAGTTTTTTTTATAAACAGCCTATCATACTCTTGAAAAATTAGGAACTAAAGAGTTTATACATAAAAAAATATTATAAAAAATTATAAATATATAACAAAATGCTTACAAATATTTTTTAAACTAAATCTTTAAAAATATTAGTAGCTTTTTGATATATAATGAAATTTTATGTCAGCTCAAACAAAAAGTATAAAAGAAAACTAAAAAAAAAGCATTCCTACTACTTCATTAAGCATTCCTATCATTTTAAAAACTATTTAATAATAACTTTGTTTTTGTTTAAAAATAATCCAAAATTTAAGTATTTGAATATAAAAGAATTTACCAAGTCAAATGTATTTTTGTAAAAATTGTTCACAAAATGAAATGACAATGTAATAATTGTGTTATTATTCCTCATCGATATTTTTTGTAAAAAGTTGTTGACAAATATTCCTTAACAATATTTATTGTTTTATTTTATTACTTACTTTACCTATTCTTCATCAATATTTATTGTAAAAAGTTGCTGATAAAAGCTTGAACTTATTTATAAATCTTTTTTAAAGAAACATGAAATATCATCATTATTAAATATGCTTAAAAAAATGTAAATGTATAAAAAATGAATTTAACCCTTTCCAGACTGAACCAAAATTGGCTATATGTCTGAACACAAAATATCAAGTTTTGACCATGATTAGTTAAATGACTATATAATATGAAGTACTAGTCAAAATTGGTCAAATGAGGGATCTTTTTTTTGTTATATAATAGGCCATCGTATTTATGAAAAAAATTTAAAATTTTTTTTTTTTCCTTAGGTCACGTGACTAAGACAGTGACATTGCCAAAAGTTTAAAAAACAATTATTTTGAGTTTAACTTTAGATTACAAATAGAAAATTACAGTTAACTGCCAGTTTTTTAATTACCAAATATAAGCACATACATTTGTGATCAAACAAAAAAAAAATTAGACTAATCTAATGACTTAGTGCAAAGATAATCAGGTTTTAGTATAAATAACCATAAGTGAAAATATTCTAAAGAAATAATAAAACAACTAATTTTCTCAAAACAATTTTTTAAGCATTACTTCAAAAGCATTAATGAAAGATTTTCACTGCAAATAATAGTCTTTTTTTGTGTGATAAATTTCAAAACAATTATCAGGGTGCAGTCCTGGTTGTGATGGACAAAATCAACAAATATAAACAGTTTTTATGAAATATCTTTTCTCAGTCTTTTTACTACATGCATAACAAACACAACATTTTTTATGACAACTTTTTTCATTTTTATCTGCAGAGTTTGTTATAATTGAAGGGAAGTGTATACCAGTAAGACAATTGACATCTTCTCCAATGACCACCTTAAGGTTGCGGGGTATCTCTGGGGTTAATACAAAAACTAACTTGATGTTGCTGACTAAAAAATCTAAGTACGATAAAGAGCTGCCAGTACAATAACTGTAAATTTTATGTGAACTCAAGGAGCACTGCAAAATTAACCTAAACACTACTTTCTTGTACCACTTATATGTTTTGCGAATAACTTGGATTCCATAGAGCTACTGATCTACCCCATCAACACCACCCATGTGCAAGTTATAACCCTTTATTGCCGATGGCTTCATGATGACATTACTGTCTCTGTCAGACTTTCCAGAATTTACCATCACTGGATTGTGGAAAGTTGATAACATATACAACTTTTTGTTTTTTACCAGATTTAACTTTCGCAGCATGATATTTGTAGGCTTTTTTTTTTCCATGTATATGATTTTGTAAAAACAAGCGGTTCCTTTTTTATCTTTCTCATTCACAATATCCTTGCAGTAGAACTTACGGTTAACAAGGATAGTTTCACAAAGATAAGTCTTTTTAGACAAAATATAAGTAGCAAGGTAGGAGCTTGTGTAATAGTTGTCTGTGAAAAGTATATGCTCCTTGTTTAAAAAAGAAGTAATCAATTCTACTGGTATGCATTCACTAGATGGCATTCCCTCAAGAGTGTCATCTTCATACATCCTAGGACCACAGTATACTAAAAAATCTAGGGTAATGCCATCTGATGTTGTTTATTCATACAACTTGATACCAAACCGTGCTCTTTTGGTTTTTATGTACTAGCTTTTTAGGGTCATTGTTGTTGTTAAAATGAAGGAACTTGAGAATGATTTTAAATTGGTCTTGATTCATAGTTTTGGAGAATATCGGTGTCCAACAAATAAGACATTTTTTTTACACAAACTTCAATTTTAAATTACAAACAATCTAGAAATGGAATTAACATGCGGTTTGAATTAAAATCCGCTAAATTCTACAGTTATTAAGATTCCCGTTTAACAAACATCTTATACAGAAAGAAGAGTTTGTAATTATTGTTTGTATAGTTTGTGACTATTGTTTGTATATTGTTTGTATAGTTTGTAAATATTGATGACCTGCTAGGTGAGTCAGTCGTCATATGAACATGGTTTTCATGACCCGCCAAATGGGTCAGTCTCACGAAAGAGTTAAATAACTATTAACAAACTCAGTAACTGTTGTTAATTTTTAAAATCAATTGTACCTTGTAGTACCAATTGAAATGCGAAGTTTGTTTAAACTTGTCATGTTAACAGGCATGTGCTTTTTATATAGTTCCCGCATTTATTTGTATTGTTTGAATAGATTCCTGGAATTTATTAATTTATTTGTGTGTTTATTTGTAGATTTTTTCATAATGGATAATATGGAAGGAAAGGGGTGTGCAGTTATAGCATTATTAGACGGAAAGAGAAAACTGTATCAGATTTTCAAAATGCTGCAGCATAAAGGAATATCAAAGGATTTTGTCTATCTTACTATTAAGCGATATAATGATAGTGGTTCTGTCAAAAAACGTTATGCCCTCAAGCAATCTTTTCTCAGAGAATGGGATGCTTTATCCATAGATACCTTGCGTAAATCAATCGAGGAATGGCGTCCAAGACTGGAGGCGTGCATACGGGCAAAAGGGGGTTATTTCGAGGACTCTCTTTATTAATGTGTACTTTAGCATTTTAACTAAAACATAACATGCATATAATATGTATATATTACATTTGTTCTTGCATTAAAAACATGTTCTCTTAAATTTTTTTACTGAATTAAAATTTAACACTTCAATTGGTACCACTAGGTATTTAAAAAAAAACTAGTTGGAACACAATAATGTGCCATTTATTTAAAGATGGCAGATTTAAAAAAAATGTTAAATCTAAGTCAACATAGCATCTTAATTTGATAAATATAATAATATAACAATACAGAAAATTACTTAAATTTAATTTATTCTTAAACTTTTTTAAATTTTTTTTTTAAATATTCAGTGGTGTACACTGGATTTTCAGATGTTTGAGTTTTGACACTTTAGCAAACTCCAAACTTTTGTATGTTCATACTTATGTCAATTGAGAATGTTTTGCAAAAAGTTGTGGTGATTGGAGCTTGGGGACAAAAAAACTCCAATTTTTGGGCCCACCCAGCCCTTAACGTGGGAGCAACAAGTTGATAAAATAATTTTTTTAGTATTTTTATCTAAGTTTATATTCATCAACGAATTTCAAATTTCATGCAATAACTTCTTAGTTTTTAGTTTTTATGACCCTACAAAGTTTACAGCCCCCTCAAATTGAGGGGGGTTAAAACTTTATATGGTCATAATTTTCGAAAAATAAGAAATTATTGGATGAAATTTGAAATTTGTTGATGATTAACTTAGATCAAAATACTTAAAAAATTATTTTATTAACTTGTTGCTCCCACGTTAAGGGCTGGGTGGGCCCAAAAATTGGGTTTTTTTTGTCCCCAAGCTCTTATCATCGCAACTCTTTGCAAAACATTCTCATTTGACATAAGCATGAACATACAAAAATTTGGAGTTTGCACAATACCTGTAAGTGTCAAAACTCAAATATCTAAAAGTCCAGTGTACACCACTGATATTTAAAATTAAATTATGCTTTATAGATATTTAATTTTTAGATAGTATTTTAGAGTTATTATCTCTAACCGTATATTTCCTAATTTCTTCTGCTAGTTCTTCAAATTTAGAATTAAGTAATTTATGGTCAGAAGTGATAGAATCCAATTCTTTTCTTGTGATAAAATCTTTATTAGCTTCTACCAATTCTCCTGTTGATGACACTACATTATCACCATTCTATTAACAAAACAAAAAAAAACATTACTAATTTATTCAAACATTTGCAAAAATAAGTGAAAATAAAAATTATAAAAATTTATTCTTTATAACTAAATTTGCTTTAACCTGTTTTTGTTTTATGTCATCAACATTTTTTAAAACCTGTTCCATTAAATTTTGATTTTCAGAGAGTTTATTCTGAAGTTTACTGGTTTCACTACCTGCATCTGCCATACCCTTTTTCAGAGCAGAAATATCATTTAGCATTACTTCAATCTTTCGATTATCAAAATTTTTATCCTTTGAAGAATTTTGATTGAACTCAATTATTTTTATCTAAAATAAACAATTTGATTTAATACAAAATTAAAGTTGTTCAAAAACTATTATAAACTAAATTAATATATAGAGTTTTTGGTCTAAATGGATTTAAAACTACTAAAATAAGTTATGAAAATTTTAAATTTTACAAAGATAATTAATCATAATGAAGAACTTTTTTATTATTTATAAAAATTTTTGTCATTTTGAAAAAAAAAAAAATAATTCACATTTTACATCCTAAAATAATGCTACTATAATGCATAAAAAATCAACAATTAGTTAAAGACAAAGTTTATTTCAAAAAGTATACAAAGGCTATACTTATGCTGATAAGCAAGGTCTGAACTTAGTCTAATAATAAAATGAGTTTAAATATTAAAAAAACTTTTACAATCATTTTCTAATAATATCTATATAACAATTTTATTAATAATAAATCCATTTTATTGTTGGGATATTTAAAATTAAAATCCCTTTTTTGTTTAGGGTTTGCAATCCCAAGATCCCTTTTTTATAATCCCGAAATTGTCTAATATCAATCCCGGGATTTCCTATACGATTGAGCAAAACAAAGGGGAAATCAAAAAATATATAAAAATAACAACAGTTTATGCGCATCAATAATATTTTTTATTTAGTATAATATCGCTGAAAGTAATTCTATTTTCAGTTATTCTGTTCTGTAATTCTGCAAAATAAACTTTCTTAAACTGAAAAAAAACGTGCGCTTCTTACAAGGTTTACTCTTAAAATTAAAACTTAAATAAGCATGGCATATGTAGATTTTACAATTAAAAGTAACTCAGGTGTTTGGAAATATTTTCTACGAGAAGAGAAAGGGCAAACAGCGATGTGTAAATTGTCAAACAGCAAGAATATTTTAAAAATCTGGGATGGTTCAACAAAAGGACTTCATATACACATGTTGCCAGTGCATAATGCGAAGGTCGAAAGTCCAAAAAAGAAATTTAAAAACCAAACCAAAAAAGAAATCTAAACCACTAACTGAATACTTTTTGATTTTTGAGAAGGAAGATAAAACACTTCACGCTACACTTGCTCATCTAACAGCGTCTGAAAGACTTTCATTGAATGTGACTTGTTCTTCAATAGATTTACATGCTGTTCTAACTGCTATGGGATTCAGAAATCTACCAACGCCAGTAAACACAATTCGTAATCATGTAGTAGAGTACAGCAAATTAAAGCACTTAAGAGTACAGAATTCGGGGTAGGAGAGAAATTTTCTTTGTCTTTTGAATGGACGTCACTTCGAAATCGTCGCTATATGATTACTAACATTCATGGAAAAAATTCTCAGTTTTGGAGTTATATATAACGCATTAAACTATTAGAAAAAAAAACTTAAAGACCATTGTCTTGACTGACGGAGCTAGTGTTATGAGAAAAGTTGGAAGGTTGCTGGCTGCAAATCAACAATTATGTTTTGCCCACGGCATACAACTTGCTGTAATTGATGTTCTTTATAAAAAAAAGAGAATTCGATGCAAATCAACCAGAATTTGAAAATAAATTTTTTGACAGTGATTCATCCGAGAATGAAGATATTAAGGAAGATTTATTAGGCTATAATAATGAAACTTTAAGATCTAAAATTGAATTAAATGAAGTTTATTATGGACCAGTCATTAAAAAAGTATGCAAGTTGATATTAATATTTAGATAATCACCTACCAAGAACGACATCTTACAAAAATATATTAAGGCTGAATTTGGAAAACAACTATCTTTAATTATAAATTGCAAAACAAGGTGGAGCAGCCTTCTGTTAATGCTTAAACAATATTATAAAGTAAAAAATTGTATACAAAAATCATTAATTGATATTTACAGTGCAAGATAATTCTATAGTTTTGTTGCATGATGATTTGACAATATTATCAGACATTATTATAACTTTAGTTCCTATTAAAGCAACGGTTGAAGCACTTTGTCGCCAAGATTCTAACCTATTTACAGCTGACATTGCTATTAATTTTATGCTTACAAAATTAATACAGCTTTAATGGCTTGTATACATGAATGCCGAACAGATATAAGTCGACCTCTGCAATACCTGCATAAAGGTCAAAGCTCCATTGAACTCGATGAAGAAATAATTTTTTTTTTTTAATTTTTTTATTTTAATTCACCTCCTCAAGGCCGAGAAGGCCACTACAGACGAAGAGGCTACTTATTTGTGGCTATAACCCTCTCTCAACTCTATAACTCCGAAACACGAACCTTGACGAACAAGGCCGCTGCGCGGAGAAACGAGTTGAGCGCGGTACTACCAGGGACGTGGTGGGGATCGAACTCGGAACCACTTGTTTATGAAGCAAGCGCTCTACCACTACACCACTACCGCATAAATAATTACAGTGCTTTCTTCATATAAATGTTGAAAACTGTTGGTAGAATTGCTGGAAAGAATAAACGCTTCCAATCCTGCTTTAGTAAGAGCATCAGTTGAGTCTGATATGCTGGATTTTATTGAAGAACCTGAAACTGAAAATAACACTTTAAGTATTGAAGAGAAGCTTGATCGTGTAATTAAAGAAGCGCAATCACCAATGCAACCAGTTAGGCATAAAACACTGTTATCAAAAATTCAAAAAGAAATAACATTATTTGAAAATGGTGGTAAACGTGGTGATTATTTAGAAAGAGTTTGTTCATTTCGAATGACGATGAAACCAATAAGTGTCGAGGCTGAACAGGTGTTTTCTTCCGCTAAACTGTTTAATAATAAAATTTGTAACAGGTTGGGCGATGAAATACTGGATGCATTGTGCTTCCTGAAGTCACATTTCAAAGCACATAAAACATGATATATTTTTTTATTTTTAATGAAATTTCTTAACATTAACCAACATGTTTTTCTTGTGTCCATGTAACGATGTAATACAAACAGCATCATTTATAAAATATATTTTTAAGAGTGTACAGCTTTTATTCTACTTAATACTATATAGATGCTGTATCTGTTTTTCACTCCCGGGATCCCGAGATTGATGTTTCTCAATCCCAGAATCCTGGGATTGAGAAATACCTCCCCGATTGCAAACCCTATTCTTGTTGAATCCATTTTCTTGTTGAAAGAAAATCCATTTACTTGTTGGGATATTTAAAAATAAAAATAATTTCAGTTATGTTAGGTTGAGTTTTAAAAGCAAACGCCTTTTAAAACTCTTTTTTAAAACATTTTAATAGGAAATAGTTTGATTGCTAAAATTTTGTAATTCTTATAGAGAAATTAAAAGGAACCAATAAAACTAATGCACTTATTAGTTTAATTTACTTTTTATGTTTATTGTATATTTTGTATTTCTTAATCAGAACAAATTGTTTTCCAATGAATGAATTATTTTAAAATTTTTATTTTCGATTAAGTTATCTTAAGTGCCGAGACAAGTTATATTTATTTTGTGAATAAACCTTAGAAAATAAGTTTGCACTTACCAAAACAAATTACTAGATAATATTTACAAAAACCTTAGTTAGAGTTGCCAATATATTTCTTATTGATAGGTTAATATCAACTTTATGAACCTGCATAGTTTTTTCTGTTATACTCAAATCTGGTTTGAATAATAAATGTACTTAGCACAGAGTTTTTTTTAACAATTTAGTTTACACAAACACATTTTGATATATATAGCCAATATTGATTTACAATATATAAACAACAATATAATACCAACATATTTTTTCATCATAGTCAATAAAAAAACATTATTGACTATGATGAAAAAATATGTTGGTATCTCATTAAACTTTTAGTTTTTCACGCTTCCAAAAGGTTTTCTAAAAACATAGATTTAAATATGTTGTTTTGAAATATATTTGTTTTTTTAACTTTTTCAGTCATCAAAAATGAAAATGAATTTTAACTTTTTCAGTCATTAAGAATAAAAAACAAATTTTTTTATTTATACAGTTGATATAAATTTCCAATTTTCCAGTAAGTGGAAATAGATTGAACTCAATCTATTTCCAATTTCCAGAAAGTGGAAAGTATTTAAAAGTTATTCTCTTTCTTTAGGTTTTTACAAGATATTAGTAATTATTTGTTGGAATTTTGTTTGGGTAAAATATCCGGAAAGTCTGGAAAAATTTTCCCTTATATACCTCCTACTTTTGATTTTAGAGGAATTGTTTTTCAAACTTTTCTTTAAGTGATGAGTGAAAAAGCTTAAAAAACAAATATATTACAAAAAATTATACATAAACTTGTATGTATACAAAATGTTTTGGATATCCGGAAAAACTAAAATTTGAAAAAAATATCCGGAATTTCAGAAATATCCGAAAAAGGATAATCCCTGAGTAATATAATATTACTATTAATTAAATTCGACCTTACTTCCCTACACTTTTTAATCACTTTCCATTGGAAAGTCACTGAAAAATGTATTTAATTCTTATCTATTTAATTAAAATCTGACCACCCGAAGCTTATTAAGACCTGTCCCAGTTTATTATTTTCAAAGAAAAAATAGTTTTAATTTAAAATTAAGAAAGACAACTGTCTCTATTTGTTAAATGCGCTGGCTTGATTACACAAAGATGTTTATACATAAGTATTTCTATTATCCTTTTAACTGAACTATTTGCGCATTTATAACAGAACGATGCGACTCATCCTAACCAAAAAGTCCTATAGGACCTGAAGGATTAGGGAATAAAAAAAAAAGAAAAAACTTTATTAGCTATAAACTATAAGCTATATTTTCTAACTTAAGTGTTTTAATTTAATGGGGTTAAAGTCTGAAATCTTTTTAAATCTTTAAATAAAGGGCAGTTATACTAAAAAGTTAAAGTGATTATTCTTAATTTGAAAAAAAATAAAATTATTACTGTTGATGACTTGATAATTTTTTTTAAGTTAAATAGAATTTAATTATATAATTTTAAAGAGTTCTCATTTTAATGCCGAAGCAAATTTTCTTTTTACTATTTTTTCTTTATAAATCAAATTCAAAATAAATATTTCAGACGCCAATTGAACT